CCCCCCCCTCCCCCCCCCCCTAAACCCCCTTTGCTATATTTATTATACAATTGCTCACTCGGGACACAGCGCGCAGCTATCTATCTCGCTCTCGTGTACTTTCCTCTCCTCTGCTCCATCTGTAAACTCTCCTCTTGACTCGGTAGTGGCCCTCGTCGTCTCACGCTTCCCCCGCCACTAGCAGACTCATTATTGCCATTATTATTCTCCATGCCGGGAATCTGGAAAGGAGGGGGCCCGCTCATGCCCGGAGGCGGGGGCGGGAAGCCCTGGAAAGTCGGCGGCGGTGGTGGTGGGAAACCCGGAGGGAGCATGCCTGGTGGAGGAGGGGGGAATTGACCGCCGGCGCCAATGGGAGGGGGTGGTGGTAGACCAGCTTTTTTCATCAGCTCTGCTAACTTGGCGAAATCCGGAGGGTTATTGGGATCCATCCCGGGTAAGGTTGGAACACTGTTTGTGCCTGAAAGACCGAATGGTAACGGTGGAGGAGGCACGGCTCCTCCCATGCCTGGTATTCTAGGTTGTGCTCCTCCTGCGCTTGTTCCATCTTTACCAAATTGTGGTAATGGTAAGCCTGGTATACCTGGGAAACCAGGGAGCTTCGGGGGCATCTTCTGGTCGACAAGTCCTTCCATCTCGTCTTCCATTTCTTGCTCCTCTTCTTCTTGACGCTGACTCCGACCTCTTCGTCGATCCCATGTCCCTTGGGCTTCGGCGGCTGACTCCCCGATGTGATAGCGATCATTGAATGTATCTGTGCTACCTGGCCGCGCACGCGTCCAGAAACGAGTGACACGATCGTTCGAACCTGATGCGAGGACATGACCCAGCGGGTGCCAATCAAGTGACCAAATTGCAAAGTCATGGGCGTATGTGACTTTGTGAGCTGGATATATGGTTTGGGCCAGTGCCGTTGAAGGATCGGGGCTATCATATGGGGCTAGAGAAGGGGCTGTCCCTGGAGGGGTATTTGGTTCGTCGAGGAGGTAATGGAATAGAGCGCCATCAGCACCACCAGTACTCAGGAGTGAGGAATGCACCGGGTGCCAGGCCAAGGTCGAAATGTCCTTGTCGTGTCCTTTCAGGAGACAAATATCACGCATCATTCGTAAATCGAACACACGTGCCGTCTGGTCACGGGCTGAGGTTGCCAGGCATTGCCCTCTGACTCGTTCGAAGAGTGTCTTCGTAATCGTGTTTTTGTGGCCGTGTAGCGTGGTTAGACAACGACCCGTGCGAGGATCCCATAGTTTGACTAGATGATCTTTTGACCCGGAAACAAGCAATCCTTTAGTAGGGTGCCAGTCAACGCTCTTCGCGTCCCAACCGTGGCCATTCAGCGTAGATTCCTCAACGCCTCCAGCGAAGTCGAAGATTTTGAGGGACGAGTCATCGGAAGCTGTGACGAATTTGGAGTCGTTCGGACTGAACGCGAGGTCTCTTATAGGATCATTGTGCCCTTGAATGACCTTGACGTTGTTGAAATTAGGTTGCCAGTACTTGATCAGGCCGTCGTGATCAGCTGACAGAAGCCAGTCATCGCTATGCGAGTAAGACAAGGCTCGGATAGCAACATCATGTGCTTGCATGATTGTCTCGAAATTAAAACCAGTTCCATTCCACAGCGTAAACTCTCCACTGCTAGATGCTGTGAGTAATCTTCGACCCTCTGGTGTCCATCGCACTACGTTGACGGGGTGCTTGATTTTGTTCAGTGAGGAGTGCAGATGTCGCGCGGGAATCGAGTCGGCTGGATTATGCAGTCTTGCTAAAGGCGGTAGCATCTATATGAAGTCAGCTTGCAAACAATGGAGCATGGAGTTCGCTCCGAAGAGAACCTACATCGACTATGTAGCTAGGACTCGGCCGTTCCATCTCTCCCTGATAGCCTCCTTTGTATCTCGGCTGTCGATTCCGCATCCAATGGACCATAGTCGAGCCATAATCTGTGACAGGGCCTTTACAGCAAACATTGTCAATTTAGAGAACTGCATTTAGACAAAAACCAGACAAAGCCATGGTGCGGCTCAAAGGACACCAAAAAGAAAGCAACATAAGCAATGACTATCAAGACAACGAGAAATACCATCGATCCAAGAATCAATTCCCACATCTATTAGGGTTGGACTCCAACTTTGAGCCTTCCCAAGTCACAGCGTTATATGGGAAGCCTAGTTCCATGGTAGCCGTGTTTTTGACGACGCGAAGTGAAATCGAGGATTGGGAGATCAGAACTCACGTCTTCCCCTTCCCCTCCCAAAACCCCCTCCTTCAAAGCCCCCAGCAGCGCCTCCAGCAGCGCCGCCACCACCGCCGTAATCGCGTTGTTCATAAGCCATCCCGACTAACTTATCATCGTTGGTTGTTGGGATATAAAGCTACGGCGCGCAGCAGAAGGATGGATCCCAAAATCCACGATCGGTTGTAGCACGTGATCCGGTCGATTATTCTTCCATCTCCGACGAACTATTCCGCAACAAGGCTAGGCCCCGCAGTCGAAGATCCTCTTTCACGTTGATGCAGCCATCATATATCTCTCCCTCCAATGGCATTCAACCTGTCGGAAATGCCTCGCCAGGTCCTTGCAATAGGGACTTGCCCCCCCGTATAAGGCCGCTTTCACTTCTCCCCCTCTTCTCTTCTCTTCTCTGCTTCTCTTCTTCTCTTTCCGTCTCGTTGTCCTTTGTGTTCTTGGCTCCCGTTTTCTAGCCGTCCGAGAGTCGCGTAGTGCCCCGCGCTACCCGTTCCATGCCCTTGTATCAGCCTTGCTTTCTTGTTATCTCTCTTTGTGCCAGGACTTGTCTATCAAGAGCATTGTGGCAATTCGGACTCCCAAACCTCTTCTAGCTTCATGCTTCTCTCCCCCGGACTCTGACGATGGCGCCGACCACAGATACCGCGACAGTCACTTCAAGAGAGAGCCCCGCAGAAGCTCCAACCAAGCGACCAGGTCATTCACATGTCAATCTCAACGGCCCGTCAACAGTCCAACCTCTAGAGCCTGTCCGGCCCCGGGCAAGACGAAAGTACAAGCACATCGCGGCTGTACATTCTAAACACAAAACTTCATGTCTCAGTCACGATTCCGAGGCTGCTCCCAGCTTTCTAGGCTTCAGAAATTTGATGGTCATCGTCTTGAGTATGTCAGCCCAGGATAGTCCTGTCGATTAACAAGTATCATCTAGATAACTGGATCGACATATGCTATTAGTTGCTGGGAACCTACGCTTGATGATTGAGAACTACAAGAAGGTTAACTTCAGTCCGTCTCTTTCATTGCGGTCCATTGCTAACCAAGGCAGTATGGAGTTCTTATCTGTATTCGGTGCCACGACTACCGACGGATGGACGTTAGACTCGGTGCTGCTCTATATTTCATTATACCTTGTCATCTCTTCGTTGCATATGTTATAGAGTTAGCAGCTGCTCAGCAAGCAAGAGCGTCCATCCAAGGAACTGGTAAGAAGCGGGATGGGACGGCTACTCCCGGCGGAAGCTATGTTCCAACAGACCAAGAGCTCAAGAAATTCCAATCAACCTGGAAGTTGATAGCGTGGATTCACGGCATCAATGCTACGCTCTGTCTGTTGATTACGTCCCTCATCGTTTACTTCTTCATCCACCATCCTCTGATTGGGACCTTGACAGAGGTTCACGCCGTTATTGTCTGGCTCAAGACCGCCTCCTACGCTTTAGCGAACCGGGACCTTCGACATGCATACCTGCATCCTTCAAGGCGGGAAGAGGATGCAGTTCCAGAGATATACAGCAAATGTCCATACCCCGAAAATATCACGTTGAGAAATCTCACATATTTCTGGTGGGCGCCGACATTGGTGTATCAGCCAGTATACCCTCGAACTACCAAGATCAGATGGGTCTTCGTTTTCAAGCGTGTGGCCGAAGTGTTCGGTCTCAGTGTTTTCATGTGGGTAGCCAGTGCGCAATACGCCGCACCCGTTTTACGGAACTCCATGGATAAGCTAGCCTCCCTAGATCTTTCTTCGATTCTTGAAAGACTCATGAAATTGTCAACGATCAGCTTGGTAATTTGGCTAGCCGGATTCTTCGCCTTATTCCAGTCATTCCTCAACGCCCTGGCTGAAGTCATGAAATTTGGGGACAGGGAGTTCTACTCTGATTGGTGGAACAGCCCAAGTGTGGGTGTTTATTGGAGAACCTGGAATATACCAGTTTATCAATTCATGAAAAGACATATATTTTCTCCTCTTGTCGGTAGAGGTTGGAGTTCTGGACATTCAAGCATTCTGGTGTTTCTCCTCTCAGGAATCCTTCACGAGTTGGTTGTGGGGGTACCAACCCACAACATTATCGGTACGTCTGCATTGGCGCTTCGAGTCTCAATGAAGAATGGCTAACGACTTATAGGAGTTGCATTCATGGGTATGATGGCTCAGCTGCCACTGATCGTCTTTACAGCGCCGCTAGAGAAGATGAAGGGGATTAATGGGAGGATCATTGGAAACTGTATCTTCTGGGTTTCATTTACCCTCATCGGCCAGCCTCTGGCCATTCTTCTCTACTTCTTTGCATGGCAGGCCAAATATGGGACCGTTAGCAAGCAACTCATCAAACCATAGATAGAACTAGATAAATAGAAGACGCAGCAAGCTTTCGTGCAATGGACTTTAACATTATATTCATTCATCTCGCATTCTCTGCACTGAGCTCAGCCATCAAGCCCCCTTTATCCCTTTTCGCAGCATCCTCCTTTAATCTCTGTGCGATAAACGCTGATATCTCCTTGACCTTCACCAACGCCACATTCGTACAATGCAACAACGCAACCGCGTCCACGGGCGCGCCTCCCAACTTGGCAATCTGACACAGCTCCCCATGCCTATTCATACTAATCGTCATAGACCCGACCCTCAGCTGCTCCTCCAGCATCGTCGCATCCAACAACGTCGTCTCTCCCGCGTCCCCATAAAAGCTAAACGTCACGCACAGCGGATCATGCAGCAAGCTCAAGGGCACGGGTTCCCTCTCCGCCAGCGTAAACACCGTCACTTTCTCGCCCTCGATCGCGGTATCCGGTTTCCTGAAATGTCGGAGCGCCGCCACGACGCCGACGCACGCCGCATCGACGAGGTTCCCATCGTGCGATAGCACATGCACGTCCGCCCGCACCGACCACACTTGAGACCCGGCGATCAGGCACAGCGATTCGGTGTCCAGGGCTTGGGACCGCCGGAGCGTCTTCTCCAGGAGCCGCGAGAGCAGAAGCTCGGTTTCTGAGGGCCGCGCGACTTCGAAACTGGGTAGTGTCATGGGCGAGAGCTCGGTGCTGATGGTGAAGATGCCGTCGAAGGGGCGGTCGGGAAAGGGGGCTGTGACTTCGGCGGAGATTTTGGTGATCAGTCTGTTTGTGTGAGAGAGAGACGGGTTAATAAGTAACCTCTTTTCCGTCTGCGGTTTTGCATTCGTGTGGAAGTTGGAGGGAGCAGAACATACCTCGTCTTCCCGAGCCTGACGTCCGCGACCCCATATTCGTCGCCGAAGTCGAGCTCGAGGGCCCGGAACTGGTCGAAGGCGCGGCCGTCGATGCGCAGGTTCTCCTGCAGCGCTTTCTGGAAGAACTGTCTCTCGTTGAGAGAGGGCCCTATCTCTCGAGGCATGCCGGGACGTAGACGCGATTATGGGAATTTGGGATGGGGAAATCAAATGCGAAAGAGATATCGCGGGGGAGAGAGAGCTTGTGGAAATTCTAAAAAACGGCAGAAAGGTTGGCGGTGAACTGGGATTGGTTTAGCGCTGGTCTCCCAATCTTGGTTTCTTGCGCGTTTCGTGATCGGGGTTGAGAACAACACTGTTTTTGATACTGCTTTGATACACCTTACACCTGCCATTATGACGACCGGTTTGGAACCTGTTGCTTGCTTGGATGACCCGTGCTAATGGTTTGCAGCTCATAGACCTACGTTCGACCCCGTAAGCAAGCTCGAAAGCTCACGTACGGACGCCGCTGACACAGCATAGGCAAGGGGAAAGGAGGCACAACGAGGCCCAGCATATCACCAGAGACTCCTACCAGCGCACACGCAACTCAAGCTCCGGTGCGATTCACCTATCCATAATGCATAAACATAGCGGGCAACATTCTGACAAAGCTATAGAAAACCAGGGCAAGGAGGAGATGCAGATCGCCAAGCTCGCGATCTCCGCGCAGAATTGCTCGAGGCTGAGGCGGCGCACTTCGCAAAGATCAAGGGCGGACCGGCTCCAACCCCGGAGACTGCAGAGCCTTCTACGAATCAGGCGAAGAGGCAGCTTGAGGATGGCGGAATGGGGGACGAGGAAGACCCCGAAGCTAAACGGAGGCGGATACTAGAAGAGACGAGAGATATAGACGCCGAGTCTGAGGATGATGGGGAGGATGATAGTAGTGAAGATGACAGTGACGACGATGAGGACGAGACGGCGGAGCTACAACGCGAACTAGAGAAGATCAAGCGGGAGAGGGCTGAGAGGAGAGAGCAAGAGGTCAGAACAAGCTTTCGCTGCCAACCCTTTTCCGCATGGTTGCTGACACGGAGAATTCAGGAACGCGAGAGGATAGCGGCAGAAGAGGCTGCACGGGAGAAGGACATTGCTCTTGGAAACCCCTTGCTGAACCCCAGGACCGACTTCAACGTCAAGCGCCGGTAAGCCACATGATGCCCAGCCACGGGCTCGTTTCCACTAACGGGAGTGCAGATGGGACGACGACGTGGTGTTCAAGAACCAAGCCCGCGGGACCGAGGACAAGCGCAAGAAGGAGTTCGTCAATGTAAGTTGGGAACAACGCGGGAACAGGGTCGTCTTGGTGCTGACGATCACGCTCTTAGGACCTCTTGCGATCGGATTTCCACAAACGCTTCATGAGGTTAGTCGCAATATCCTTGGTCTGATCAAAGAATGGGGAGCGGGTGGATGAGGCTAACACGTGGCGCAGCAAATATGTGAGATGACGAGTCATGGGAGATTGGTCATTGGAGAATGAAGACTGGGAGTTCTGGGTCCGGCTGGCTGGAGGGGTCGGCAAGTTATTACCTACATGGCGGAGGACGATGAGCGGTCAGACCGCCTGGCTGCCACGGGGCCACCTTATCTATGCAATTGTATACATAACATGTGGCGTATAAAGGAGTTTTAAGAATTTGCATAATCACAGGCCCCATCTTAATTACTCCGTATACTTATCTTTGATCGGGATCTCTTGGTTGGCCGTGCATCACGTGATTATAGAGGGGTAGGTAAGTAGGTAACCTCAGAGTGCATACCATGACTACTTTCAGGCAGACTGTAGGTCAAAAGAAGACGAAAGATGTCCCATATTACCTGATGGCCGCTCGTAATCATCGGGGTTCGACATGCGTTTACATGCCGAGGAATCTGAAGCTGAATCTCAGCGTTCGGAGTTGTGGGGGGGTGGAGGGGCGGTTGGCCCGACTACTCGTTGGTCAAACGGCTGGGGGTGGGAAAGGCGTCGATTGAATACGGAATCCGTAATCTTATTAAAATATGATGAGAATATATGGGTTTGTCTTATTTTGACCTCCGGCTGTGATGATAGTGTAGGTAGGTATATAATATAAGGGAGGAGTGGTATGTAGGTGACCCTCGGTCTGGATGAGATGGAGATGAGACGAGATGAGCTGATAATTGCACAACACGAAAAACACGGGACCGGGAATGAGAGTTAATGCACGAGCATAAAGAAGAAGAAAAGATATGATAATAATCGATCCATCACAATCCGTACAGTACTACTGTAAGTAAATAATAGTAAGAGTGGTGGCCCTGGTGGGTAAAAACATTGAGGAGCCCGGCTAGGCGTTGGGCACTGGCCCTCAGCGCGACAAGGGTCGGCGGCCCAGCGGCTCAGCGGTACCTGGAGAGCCGAGCCATGTCGAGCGCAAAAGGGGGGCCCTTGAACAGCTGAGCAGCTGAGTGTGAGGAGCGGGGACTGCCCATGATCATCTAGATTCGCACTCTCGGATGAATGCGTGATTAATGAATCCTGGCGACGGCTGTCCTCTGGCATGGCGGGCGATCCTGGTGATGATGATGATGAAGATGATGGGCGATGATGGCATGGACGAGGGTGCTGGAGGGGAGAGAGGGAGAGAGGGGTCCCGTATCATTGATTCTCTTTGGCGAGAGAGAGGGGCGCCTTGCCGCTTAGGGACTAGAAGCGGGGGGGATTCGCATCGGGATGGACATCTGGGATCCAGGGCGCGCCTTGCCGGTCTGGGCCTAGCGGAGATGGCACCAGTTGACCACGCAGACCACCTTACCTATCCCCTCGGGAGGGGTGTGGCTAGAGAGAGGGGAGAAAGGGGAGAGAGAGAAAGGGGGGAGGAGATGGGGGAGCGGGTGAGAGGGAGGGAAAAAGGAAGGAAGGAAGGAAGGAAGGTGCAAAGAAGCACACCCCCCCATGACGTCACGGGCCTCCCAGCAGGAAAAGGAAATAATACAGAAGCAAGAGATACCCTTCGTGCAGTCTTCGCCAGACTACAGTACCTGAGGACAGGGGTGCCATGCGAGTAAGGCCGGCCGTCGGTAAGGAGGGGCCGTCTTGTGCAACGTGCCTATCAGGAGAGAGATCCTCTGCCACGGTGTACCTCCCTGAGAGATATAAGGTCAGGTAAGGTAAGGTAGGTATATAATCCCCTCCCGCCCCAGGACCGCCCAGCTCTTCCTCTTCCTCTTCCTCTCCCTACTCTCTACATCTATCAATCTTAAATTCAAATTTCCCACTCTTCTCTCCCACTCTCCCATCCTACACAACTCTCTTCATCATGTCCAACTACGACAACGACAACTCCGTAAGTCTTGAGAGAATGTTACAAAGCCAGTTCTTCATGGTTCCCTCCCTCTGACCGACTTCCTTTCCCTAGGGCTACGGAGGCAGTGACAGCTACGGCGTAAGCCTCTCTCTCTGATCACCTTCCACCCCCTGCTACCATTGTGGCAGGCTGGGTTAAGTCCAAGTCTGGGTCCTTTCTAACGCTCTCGTTCAGTCTGGTGGCCGGGGCAATGATAGCTACGGAAGCAGTGACAGTTATGGCGTAAGCCTCTCTTAGTTACCTTCTCTCCCTCTACTACCATTGTAGTCGGAGGGGTCAAAGTCTAGGACCTTCCTCGACTAACTCTTTTCTTTCAGTCTGGTGGCCGAGGCAACGACAGCTATGGAAGCAGTGACAGCTATGGCGTAAGCCTCTCTTGGTTACCTTCTTTCTCCCCACTACCATTGTAGTCGGGAGTGTCTAGGACGTTCCCCGACTAACTCTTTCTTTCAGTCTGGTGGCCGAGGAGGCAACGACAGCTATGGAAGCAGTGACAGCTACGGCGTAAGCCTCTCTTGGTTACCTCCTCCCTCCACTACCATTGTAGTGGGAGCTTCGGAGGGGTCAAAGCCTAGGACATTCCCTGACTAACTCTTTTCTCCAGTCTGGCGGCCGAGGAAACAGTGACAGCTACGGAGTAAGTATCCCGTGCAGGACTGTTGTCTCGCTCTGCAGTCACGGTTCCTGTCGTTGCACATAGTCCCAAGATCGCCCTGCTGACTTCTTGATTGCAGGGAGGCAACTCTGACAGCTACGGATCTAGCAATGACGACAACAGCTACGGCTCGAGAGGAAAATCCGGCGGTGACAGCTACGGCTCTAGCAACGACGACAGCTACGGCTCGAGTGGAAGAGGAAACTCTGGCAACGACGACAGCTACGGTTCAAGTGGAAGAGGAGGAAGATCTGGCGGTGACGACAGCTACGGCTCGAGCAACAACGACAGCTATGGCTCTAGCAAGAACGACAGCTATGGCTCCAGCAACAACGACAGCTATGGCTCCAGCAACAACGACGACAGCTACGGCTCGAGTGGGAGAGGAAAGTCCGGCGGTGACAGCTACGGCTCTAGCAACAACGACAGCTATGGATCTAGCAACAACGACAGCTATGGCTCCAGCAACAACGACAGCTATGGCTCTAGCAAGAACGACAGCTATGGCTCCAGCAACAACGACGACAGCTACGGCTCGAGTGGAAGAGGAAAGTCCGGCGGTGACAGCTACGGCTCGGGCAACAACGACAGCTATGGCTCCAGCAACAACGACAGCTATGGCTCTAGCAACAACGACGACAGCTACGGCTCGAGTGGAAGAGGAAAGTCCGGCGGTGACAGCTACGGCTCAAGCAACGATGACAGCTACGGCTCCGGCGGCAACTCTGGCTACGGAGGAAACTCTGGCAACGATGACAGCTACGGCTCGGGTAACAGCACCGCCGACAAGCTGTTGCAGAAGGCCGGCAGCTTCTTCAAGGGTGGCAACAACTCGGGAAACAATGACAATGACTACTAGGCGCATGGTTTGCTGCGGATGATTTTACGACGGTTATGGCGATAGCCTATAGGATGGATTTCCTTGGATTCTCGGGACGGGGGGACGGGGTCCCGTGTAGCACACGTAGCATGTAGTTCTCACTGAGGTGCGAATGCTCGTTCCTAATGATACTCTGAAACTGAATCTTGGTCTTGGCTCGTAATGCGTGTTGAATGTGTAAGTGAGATATGAACTCAACTGGTAACCCCTCAACATACGTCACCGGCACACAGACCTGTCCACGGAACCATTGCTCCGGCAGAGGATCTACGTCGGGCCTATATTGTTCCGAAGCCTTCGGGTGGCGCGCGCCGTACCGAGCTTTAGGACCCAGAGATGAACTTCACAGCAAGGATGCTCGCTCATCTTACGGTGGTACATACATGTTTAATGACATATGTAGACCTACTACAACCACGTAACATGCTCCTCGGGATTCAATATGAATCGATCCTTCAAGAGCTCGAGCAAGCCGAATCTGAAAACCCAACCCTGCGAAAGTATATATTGATGATCGGATCATCTACGAGTTGAGGCCGCCTCCGTTTATGTGACTTTGGGGAGGCTCGACTTGGGGAGACCTGGAACACAATGATGATATCATGCCCGACATACATCGAGCTCCGGAAGTTATCTTGAAGATTTATTGGGATTATAAGGTTGATATATGGAATCTTGGCGTATTGGTAAGTAGAATTCAGATTCTTCATCTTGGCATACTACCAGCTGTTAACTATTTAGTACTAATCTGTCAGGTCTGGGAGCTCTTTGAATATCATCATTTTTTTCAAAGGTAGGAATCCCAAGGATGACCTTCTCGATGACAGCTATCATTTCGGTGAGATGGTGGCCATCCCAAGATCCTCCACCTACCGAATTTCTTAAACGTGGCGAGAAAAGTCAAGAAACCTGGGACGAAGCAGGTCGGTTTGCATTTGGTTGAAACTTGAAATACTAGTACGAGTTCTAATGAGCTTTCGCTAGGTAACCGGAGAGGTCTCGCCCTAAATCCCAGCCAATACCTCGAGGAGTTTGATGAGAGGCTAGAGGGTAAAGATAAGGACCTTTTCCTGCGTTTAAACTCGAGGTCCACGTCTAGCGGCATTGGCAACAAGGGTGATCTAATGTAGCTGATCAAAGCCAAGGAACGGGAGGCCAGTGCATGACTGGACTTTGGAGAATTGGGTAGGCGCCCCTCATGAATACAAGCAAAACGGCAGGCACTAAGCTCGAACTCGATGCGGCGTGACTGACTTAAACCCCACTGAATTCTCCTATCCATTTACAATTTTCTTCACAAACACCGATATGAATATAAAGCAATAATTGTCCAACCTCCAAAGACTTACAACCAACAAACATGGCTGCTATTGCCGTATCTCCAGAAGGCATTGCTCAGGTCACGACAGCAATGAAGAGTCCCAACACTGGTTTGAGCATCAACGAGCTCTAGAATAACATGGTCCTCAACTGCAAAATCCACGTCTTCATTTACGACCTTCGGAGTTTCCAAGAGATTCCGGATCTCGGGCTCGTCTCGATCAGACCGTAGATGCTATTTTTATCGGTACGCCTTGTATGTAATATATGCCATAACTCCACTCCCCCTATTTCTTTATAGACATGGTACTGACTGTGAGAATCGTCTGTAGACTTCAGCCAGAGAAAGTGAGAGCGCTAAAAGGCACCATTATCTGTCGCATATAGAACGGGCCTAATAGGGACCTATATTTTGAGTAATTGCCACCTGGTAAAAGGGTCCTATTACCGAGATCCGTTGTGCCGATTTTTGCCACATCTTTATGTATATATAGAGTCTCTAGACCCTTACTTTACTCTTTAATCGAGTCCGTTTCTCCCGTTTTGACAGTTATAAGCCCGGGTTGCTTTCTATAGCTACCGAAACTGTGTGATCAGACTCCCTGACCGACTTGATTTTTCGACACTACTATTAACGTGATTTCGGCTGATACTAACGTAGTAAACAAGCCTGTTTTTTGACTTTTAAGTAGATATACGAGGCTTAATAGAAGCTAATTAAAATATCCTAAACAACGCCTCTAATAGGCTACTCGATTAATTTAAAGGCGCTAATTCAAGTACTTATTCGACAATTTAGACTTACCCTAACTTACCTAATTTAGTAACTAGTTAAACAACGTGTTTAGCAGCTGTTTCTACCTAACTTACTACTAATTCGACTTTAATTATTATAGTAGGTATAGTTAATACGACTATTACTACTTATATCCTTAATAGAACTAATGATTAGGACGATTAGATTAAAGAGATCTAAGCTATAGCTAGAAGTACTAATATATAGAACTTTGTAGATCCTTTAAAGGATCGACTACTACTTTAACTATAAGAGCTAGTTTAGCCTAAACCAGGCTATGTTTAAGGGTAATTAAACGTAGCTTATAGCTAGTTAAGTAAGGGAGAAAGAGAGTAGTTATAGATCTTTTATATTTAGGTTTAAATTACCTAATTTAGACGTGTTTTAATCCTCTTTTTAAAGTGCCTCTACCCTCTTCTTAATAAAGGCGTTAGACTTAAGTTTTGTACTAATCTCCTTTTAGATCTTTTTGTTTAGTACCTATCCTACTAGCCTTTTACTAGGGATTAGGTAATAGTAGTCCTTAAACTAGTGCCTCTTACTATATAGGTACTTAAGAGGCCGTTTGCCTCCTTTGTCTAAGCTTTGCCCTTAAAGGGTAAAGAACACTACGTAATATCCTTCTTTTACTTTTAGTTACCTTTTACTCTTAAGTTTAAGCTTAAACTCGTTAAGTACGTCTTTAAATTCAAGTTTCTTCTTCTTAAAAAGCTAGTGTTCTACTATCTAGGTAAACACTAGATCTACTCTCTCTATAGCGGCTATAAAGTCGTAGATTAGCCTAGTACCTAGAACTTTAGCTATATTAAGCACTAGACAGTTGTTATACGCTAATTTAAAGCTATTAATCTAAGCGGCTACTAATTACCCTCTTTTAGGTACCTCTTAAGCTAACTTATACTTCTTAATTAGCTTTTGTTACCTTATATTATCTAAAGGAGCTACTCTCTTTTTTAGTTCTATAAGTATATTATATACTATAGTACTAGTATTAACGTAGTAAACGTATTCTTTTTATATTATATTAATTATTTGTATCTATAAGTCGTTTAACGCTTGTTATTACTATTTAAACAGTTGTTGTTCCTTATTATATTAATTTTAAAGATAACTATAGTAATTAACAAAGAAGAGGATCTCTTTAAAGCGTTTATAGTATTAGCTATATCTACTAATATAGCTACTAAAATAGCTAACCTAACTACTAAATTTAGTTATTTAGTCTTAAAAAGAGAGGAATAAGATTACCTACTAAAAAAGAGCTTTATACTTAACTTAGGTACTACGATACACGTCTATAACGACCTAAATAGGTTTAGCTTTATACAAAAAGCCTTAGAATAAAGCTTCTTATTAGCTAGTAAGGATTAAATTTAAATTAAAGCCTTTAGTATAGTAAAAATCTAACTCTAGAGGCTAAAGGGGCCTTTTACTATTAAGTTACTAAATACTACGCTAGTCCTTACGTTCTATACTAACGTAGTATCCTTACGTTAATTAATCTAAAAGGGGATCTACTAAGATACTAAAAGAAGACGATTAACCTTTAGAAACTAAACCTTTTACTATACACTAGTTTAAAATAGCTAGTAGATACTAGAATATAATCTAGTTACTAAACTTAGAAACGACACTATAACTACTAATACTATAGCGTACCTTATAAATAGTTATATTCTAGTACTATCTAGCGCTTTAACTAACCTTTAGTATAAAAGGATAGGTTACCTTTAAATAAAGGCTATTTAGCGCCTTTCTAGCGCTACTAGAGACGTTAAAATAGTAGATATAGACTAGTATCTTATTACTTCTTATAAAACGTACTACTTATCTAACGTAAAATAATAAATATCCTAAGTACTAGCTAAAAGAGCTACTACCTTATTAAGGTAAATATACGTAGATCTTATCTCTTTTTATATAGTAGATATAAAGGAGCGCTATATCTTTTATATTACCGCCCCTCTAGGTAGCAAGCTAAGGGGATTACAAAGGACCTTACTACAAAGTAGTTATAGTGCCTCTACGTCGTCACGAGGGCGTACTAGGCGACGCCCGTCTAGTTCCTTAAGTCTAAAACAGCTACGCCCTTACTCGACCTCTACCTCGACAAGTAGGTAGCAGACTTTAAACAACGTCTTAAACGTATAAGTAAAAGAGAACTTATATAGTCTATCTATAACAGGGTAGCGGCCCGTCTTTAATAACGCTAGAGACACTACTATAGCGCTACTATAGCGCTACCTTATACGTTACTTAAGTACGGGATAGGCCGAGCCGCGTAGGCGAAGGACTAGTATAGGGACTCCTCCCTAGAGAAGACCCTATAAGGGAACTAGAAGGCACGATAGTCTTAACACGACAGCTTGCCGGCATACCGCTAAGGCGCCGCCCTAGCCGCGCTACCTGCCCTCTTAGTAGATACCCTTAAGAAGTACCTACTCTTCTATAAGTACGAGAGCTCTCTTTTAACATAGATCTGTACTAGTAAAGTTAGACTCTAGGCTTTCCTTTTTAAGCGTAGAGTACTAGAGGTAGTGACCTCCTAGTACCCTTATAGTAAGGCCCTAGAGACAGCGGCTTACCTAGTCCTTAACTACTAGTAGCTAGATTAATAGCGGCAGGCCTTATAGTAAGCGCTCTACCCGAGAGTACTATAAACGTTCTATAACTTTATAGTAGTAATAGAGAAAGGTAAGAGCGCTCGTATACTAATCTGTTAGCTACTGTCTACCGGCCGATTCTTATAGTTCTGTCTAGCTAAGCGCTACCTAGTAAAGGAGTTACAAGAGAGGGAGTAGCCCTAGCTAGTAGCCGGCGCCCTACTAGCGCCTCGCTAGTGTCCTGTTAGTATGTTTAGTATTACTAGGCTAGAAGGTTAAGTTCTAGTAGGGTAGTAATAAAGACCTAGCGCCTTAGTAGCGCTATAACAGTATAAACACAAGTAGTAGTACGTAGGTTTTTACCCGGCTTTAGTACGGTTTTACTACGTGATTTATGTAGTATAGAGGTTCTGTATATAGTAGGCATAGGCAGTAAGAACAATAATAATAATATATCTTTTATATCTTAGATAACTTAACTTAAATAAACTTTGTATATACTATAGAATCTAAACAAGAAACCTCTAGTATTCTACACTACTTCGTATATATAGTATATAAGTAGTAAGGGTTTAGAGTAAAAGTTATTTAAGTAGATAGTAAAACGTTACTTAGAGGAGAGTTTAATAAGTAGGTAATAGAGAAAGAGATCCTAGTAGAACGATTAGTGTTACAAACACTAGAGTAAAACAGTCTAGCTAAGCGATCTAAAAGAGTAATCCTTTAAAGGGGTATAGCTCTTTATATAAAGAGTAGGCTACTAGAGAACCTATGGCCTAAAGCTAGTAAAACAGTAGCCTACCTTATTAATAGATCTCTTAGCGCCTTATTAGCTTAGAAAACCCTTTACTAGTACCTCTAAGAGGTAATAAAGAGTAAAAAAGAGAGGCTTAAACCTAAGCTTAGCTACCTTTAAGCGTATAGTTATAAGGCGTACGTACTAAACAAGACTAGGGCTAGACTAGATAAGTTAGATCTTAAAGCGTTTATTAGATACTTTGTTAGATACAAGTCGATAAATATATACTAAATATAGATCTTCTTAAAGAATTAAATAGTATCTACTTGTAACGTTACCTTTAGTAAAACAGCCTGTTATAATCTAGTAGAACTATAAGAGGCTAAAGAACAGGCTATATAGGCCTTAAAAGAGATATCTTAACAGATAAAGAACTAGTAAATTAAAGAATTAGATACTAAAGACGTTATAGTAGTAGAGGTACCTTAACAGGTAGAGGATAGAAGAGAACACTTAGTTAAGCCTTATTTAGTACCTTAGGTTAGTACTAAAACTTAGATTCCCTTACTTACTATACCTTTACCTACCTTATAAGCTATACCTAACGTTAAACTAAACGAATTAGACAAATTCTACAAACAAATAGATCTAATAGATTAAACAGATCTACTTATAAACACGCTAAACACACTAGGATCTATGTTAAATAAATTTACTACTCTAAACGCGCTAAACGCGCTAATTAGATTAAATAGATTAACAGAATTAAGTTAATTAGTAGAGCTAATAGCTAAAAACAACAAATCTAAGCCCTTAGTACGATCTCTTAAGCCCTACAATCCTTTTAATCTACTTATTTTTAACAAACCTAACGAATTAGATATAAAGATAGAAGACGTACTACTAATATAGCTAGATCCTATCCTACTATCTAATAACGTTATAATTTAATAAAGGAGGCTATAAAGAGGGCCTAGATCTAAAGGTATTAGGTATAGTAACATTATTAAAAGCCTTAGAGAGTAACGTTAAAACTATAAACACGTCTATATAGTATAACAAGAAGGGATTAACAAATATAGTAGGTTCTATTTAGCCTTCTAACTAGGTACTAAATACAAGAAACAGAGACTCTATTAAACTAATCTCTTAGTACTACTTAGCTACTAGAGAGAGCTTTAAAACTACTCTTATAGTACTAAGTTTAGGATTGTAGTAGAGAAAGAGTATATAGATCTAGAGAGGTAAGAAACCTTTAAACTAGTCTACTATTTAACTATTAAGAGATATATAATCCTTATAAGGTAAGTGTTTATATATAAATTTAATACTAACGGCTTTCTAGCTAAATTTAAGGCTAGGCTTATAGTTAGAGGCGATTTATAGTACCTTAACAGCCGTAATAATTACGCTACTACCCTTACGTTAAGAGTATTTAGGGCTCTAATAGCTATAGCGGCCTAGTTTAATCTTAATATCTATTAATTAGACGCTATTAACGCGTTTACTAATAGTAATATAGATAGTAAAGTCTATATTTACTACTTAAAGGGATTTAGTAAGCTAGAACACTACCTTCTTCTCTTATAGGCCTTGTACGGCCTTTATAGATTACTACTACTCTAGTATAGTAAGTTTACTTATATACTAAAAGAACTAGGGCTATTCCTTATACCTAAGGCAGACTACCTTTATATAAATAACAAGCTAATAGTCTTCTTTTATATAAACAATATAGCGATATTATCTAGACGATTTAACTATAACGAATTTCTCTCTTTTAAAACAAAGCTATTTAGTAAATATAAGATATAAGATCTAAGAGAGTTAAGCTAGTTCTTAAGGATAAGGGTAATAAGGGATAGAACGGCGTAACAGATCTAGCTAAGCTAAGATTTGTATATTAAGTCTATTATAAAGAGGTTCTACCTTAATAAAGGTAAAACACTAGCTACGCTTATAGCTACTAATAAATTAGTACTATATACAGGTAAAGTAACAGATTAAGAGGTCTTAGCCTACTAGTAAAAAGTAGGCTTAATTCTATACGCTACTATCGTTATACGGCTAGATATAATAAGAGCCGCTATACGGCTTTCTAAGTTCTTAATCAACTCTTTACTAGATTACTACTAAGTAGTAGATAAAGTAATTAGATACCTGTATTTAATAAAACACCTAGCTATTAAATATAGGGATAGAACAGATTTAGGGTAAGCCTTTGCCTACGTAAGTAACACTATATTTACTAATAACCTACTAAATAGACGTAGTATAGAAGGTTACGTATTCTACTTGTTTAGAGGGCTAATTAACTAGAAATTAAGTAAGTAAAAGACTGTTACTACTTTAAGTATAGAGGCAGAACTGTTAGTAGTAATACACGCTATAAAAGAGCTATATTAGTAGCGTAAGGTATTTGTAAACCTTATATTAGAGTTTGATCTAAGGTTTAAGTACTCTATAAAGGTAGATAATCTATAAACAATACAGCTAATAGAGCTAGGAACACCTAGACTAGCTACTAAGCTTAAGTACGTCGATATCTACTAATACTAGCTAAGGCAGGAGGTAGCTACCTAACGCGTTAAGTTAGAGTAGATATCGACTAATAACATACCGGCTAACAGACTTATAAAAGCTCTACTACGTTAAAAACACTAAGAGTTCGTTAAATAGCTTAAACTAGTAGATATTTAATACTAAATTAGCTAGCCTACGTCAACTAGTAACTAAAGTTACAAGCTAAAGAGGATTAGTAAATTAAGTACGAAAACTAGCTAGAAAGACTACTAGAACCTAGATCTAGACTAAATACGTAGGTTATAGTAGATATATACTGTTTTTAGACACTTATTTAATTAATTGTTTAATTATTACGTTCGTTAATATATTTATATTAAGTATATAGATAAGGGGCTACTTAGAATAAGTAAATAGCTTTACTATTTCCTAATTAAGAACAAAATCGTGACTCTTTAGGGAAGTGTGTTAGAAACCTAACTGTTAAACGTAATAACTCGATTTCCTAATTAGGTAATACTATATTACTAGTAGATTAGGAGTTAGATTTTGCTTAGAGTTTAATACAGAGTTTTTACTTTACTACCTACTCTACTATAGTAATAGAGCCCTATTACTACAGATCCGTTATACTGATTTACTACTGTTACCTGTATATAGAGCCTCCTTTTTGATCCTAGTTTAGTAGTTTAATTTAATCTAGTTTAATCGAATCTACTTAATTCGCTCCCTTTGATCGATCACTAATTCGTTCTATTTGACATGTTAGAAACCTGACTGTTAAACGCAATAACTCGATTTCCTAATCAGGTAATACTATATTACCGGTAGATCAGGAGTCAGATTTTGCTCAGAGTTTGATACAGAGTTTTCACTTTGCTACCTACTCTACCGCGGTAATAGAGCCCTATTACCACGGATCCGTTATACCGATTTGCCACCGTTACCTGTATATAGAGCATCCTTTTTGATCCTAGTTCAGCAGTTCAATTTAATCTAGTTTAATCGAATCCACTTAATTCGCTCCCTTTGATCGATCACCAATTCGTTCTATTTGACAGTTATAAGCCCGGGTTGCTTCCGTATAAGCTTCCTTATAGCTGTAGGCTTGATTCCTTTACTCTTAAGAGAGAAGAGTATCGTACTTTGATTCCGAACGTTCTTGACGATACCGACAAAACAACAAAGCCGATACCGATCATAGTCAAGCCCTATCTAAAGGCCGGGAGCCACATCCTCGAGAGTAAGGCTAGGAGCCATAGTCTCGAGAGCCGGTACAGAGAGCTAGGCGTAGAGGCAGATTTCGTGAGGATTGTTGTGACGGGCGAAATGTAGCAAATTTAGAACGACGATAATTCGAATAACGACAACTTAAACGACAGACAACTTGAACGACAGACAACTTGAACGAGGACAACTTGAACGATAACAACACCGACAATATCAAAGCTTATAGATCTCGCGACAGATCTATAGCATGACCGACAACAATACCGACAACATTACCGAAGCCTATGTAGGCCGAAGCCGACAACGATATGACAACCGAAGCCTATACAGGCCGCCGATATATAGACTATTTGAAGGGCCGTTAGAGGAGCTATATAGGGATGTCTGATTAGGGTCAAAATACAGCTCCCTAGGGGGGTGTGTCGCATATAGAACGGGCCTAATAGGGACCTATATTTTGAGTAATTACTACCCGGTAAAAGGGTCTTATTACCGAGATCCGTTGTGCCGATTTTTGCCACATCTTCATGTATATATAGAGTCTCTAGACCCTTACTTTACTCTTCAATCGAGTCCGTTTCTCCCGTTTTGACATTATCACTAGCGAGAAAACCTTGGAGACTATCATCGAAAACCCCTTAACGAGCGCTTAGAAAGAAAGATCAAGAAACATGCTGAAAGCGACGTCTGTGAAGCTCATGACCTGGCCCTAATTTTGGAGAAAGTGTTTGATATCGAGCCGAAGGAATTAGCTAAGGATAGAGACTTCTTTACTATTCTGGGCAGATCGGGACTGGATTTGAAAGATAAAGAGGATTCGAAGGGGATAGAGAAGAAGAAACCTTCTAGGGAAGAGAATAGGAAGAAGTATTGAGAAACTGCTCCTCACCTTTCGTGGTGCTTCTAGGGATTTACGGTTCAGATACAAATATCTGGTGCTTAAATTCCCAGGCTCTCAACTCCGGCAATTTCAAACAACCATGACATACAGAAGAAACGAAGCACTCGATACCTTCGAAATCCATCCGGACTTTGCGAGCAGATCAAAACTACCCATCACCTTCCCTGGTTGTTCTGGCAAATATTTGCGAAGATGCACACTCACGTCTCAACAACACTAAGGATGAGTATTTCTGGGGGGAATGTACTTCACACTAGCCATTGTCGACGAGATTAATTGTCCTTCGAAGCTCGAAAATGCAGTCATTGCGCCGTCAAGACTCTCGCCAGGATACCTCTCATCCGGCGCTTAATCCGGGCAATCCGCCCCTAAATCCACCACGAGTCAAAACTCCCTGCATCAGGCAGGAAGAATCACCGATCAATCAGCTACTGAACGGTCAGATTTATTGTTAACAAGAAAGGGTGAGAGAGAGTAGCTGATTAAGATGACCTCGCTCCCCTCTTTGAAGCAACGTTTAGGTCAAGAGACGGAGAGTCATGACTGTTGCTTGGAGTCCTGGCAAGTTTCATGCAAGCCCCCATTTTTGCAGAAAATGCATACATCACGCTCTTATTCACTTTCAAGTATACCCGTGGTAAGGAACGCCCTCCTTCCCTGAATTAAGGGGGAAAGCCTACATATTTACGCACCGTTGTGAACCCTTCAAGCCGGACTGCAATCTGGTACGCAGCCAGAAGATCGACTAGTTCGAAGACATTCAACGATGGCACGGCTCATATACACCAAAACGGTCTTTGATATGGTCTCGGTACTTTGAGAAAAGATTCAATATCATAACAACGGAAGATAATTTAGCAGCGACATTATATACTCGCAATGGTCGATGATTAAATCATAGCGATAACAAAGTGAATACAGTATCAGACAATAGGCAAATACGACAACTGGCAAACTAGCTAGGTACACTTCGTGGGGACGTCCCGGCATTGTGAAGATGAGAATCTGGGATTCTGGGAAATATAACACCTTTCTACCTGATGGAATACTGAAGACCTAAGCCTTGATCTGAGTTAATATTGACGGGCGGCAATGCCAGCCTCGTCAATGTCAAGGATGTCCGCGACTTCGGATATACAATCACTCATATGGCTTTGCTGGCTTATTGCAACATACCATCTCCAGCACATAGACCAAAGATTCGCATCCTTAATGTTGCTCTGGAGGCTGTTTTCAGTGCGGTCTTCTGGTCCATGGTCCCTTCTGAGAAGGAGTTCGGCCTTTCTCATATGTGATCCAGATGCATTTGAATGGCTGGGGCCTGGGCCTCACTCTCCACTTCGCGAAACTATCAGATGTCCTGAGGGCGAAATGGGTTTCCTGTTTGCTTGTTTTGGAAATGTGGCCATTGCTGAGCTCGTGTGCCATATAATCTGTGAAGTGAACAGGAGCAGTGAATTGCAACGAAAAGAAAGAGCAAAAGAATACAAAGTACCAAGCTGAATGTCAGCGAGCCTTACGAGAGAACCCTACCGAAGAATACAAACAGCGCCAGAAAACCAACAACATCCAGCAGAAGCCATTCACAGTCATTCGACAGAGAGAAGCAGTCCAGAACAAAAGATATCATTGTGCAGTTTGCGATGTGTCATGCTGCGATGCGGCCTCATTGCGCCTCCACAACGAGAGTACACGACATAAGAAGAAGGTCGAACGTGGTGATGCCGATTTTGAATGCACAGCATGCAATGTTTCTTTCCGTTATTTTTCCAACTTTGACGAGGGGCGGGTGGTGTTTCTGCACCTTCGTCGAGACCTAGCTCAAGCTGAGATAAAGCGGCTTCTTCGCTCTCGTTCTACTTCTCCTTCTTCCCTCCTCAACAGAGCGAACACCACTTGGAATTCAGCCGTGCTGCTGTAATTCAAAAGATTTCAAAATGGCATCAGATTTGACCTTCTCCGAAGGAGTAGCTGTTGCCATGCTCATCTTCACTATCCTCGCGGTCCTCTTTACTTTGCCGCACCTTGAGGTGTTGAAACTACTGAATCCCTAGAATGGGGTAATCACAGAACCTGGAGAAAGCGAAAGCTCGATCTTTAGGAATGACAACGGTGGTAGGAAATGAATGACAACGGTAGTAGGGAATGGATGACAACGGTAGTGCATTCACTTCATGGTACCTATCTAGTAATCCAAATACCTTTTCATCTAATTTTGCCTCCCAGTCAAGATGTAGACTTCCTGCAATCCATCGATCGAAGGTCAATCCTAATCGCGCCTCTTCGTAGTCAGGGCAGGGGGATAATTTTGCCAATGCTGTTCTTAAAGGTAGAGCAAGAGAGCGGATCGCGGACCGGACGCTGACTAATCACACCTGGGGGGACGGCACGGACGCGGGGAAACCCCGCGTGGGGTAAGGTAAGCCGGCGGCACCGAGGTGAAAGTGAGTGGTGAAGGGCGAGCGGAAATTTGAGAGGGCGGGGATTTGAGAGGGAGGGGGGGATAGGCGGAACTTTCCTTTTCTTTTCTTTCTTTACCTTTTCTTTTCCTTTCTTTTCTTTTCTTTGCTCTTGGAATGACCAAGAGAGGAGAGAGAATACGAATCCATACGCCAATTTGGTTTATATATATATGATTTAGACCTCCCCCGGCGATCAATCTTCAATCCATTTATCCAGCTATCCATCGATTCTTGCTAACAGCAAAACGAAACAAAAAAAGAGCACAAAGAATGGCACTCCCCCGCCCCCGCGCCTTCAACTTCGCCCACGACGTTGTCGATGCCCAGCCGCGCGACGCCCAAGCCATGTTCTGGGTATCCGCGGACGGGGCGCGACAGCGGCAGCTCAGCTACGGGTATTTCGCGTCGCGGTCGCGGCGCGTGGCGAGCTGGTTGCTAGAGCTGGGGCTGCGGAGGGGCGACGTCGTGCTGCTGGTGCTGCCGCGGTGGGTGGAGTGGTGGGAGATCGCGGTGGCGGCGCTAAGGGCGGGCATTGTGCTCTGTCCGGCGACGACGCTGCTGGTGGATAAGGATCTGGCGTTTCGGTGCCAGCAGACCAGGGCGAGGGTGTTTATTGGGGATGAGGTGGGAGTGGCCAAGGTGAGGCGCGTGAGGGACCAGTGTCCGGATTTGGAGACGGTGGTGTGTGTCCGGGAGGAGGAGGGGCGGGCGACGACGGCTGGTGAGGAGGAGGACGGGGTGGTGGATTTTAGGGAGGCTGTGGAGAGGAGCTCGTCGGTGTGGGATGATGGGGAGGGGAGGAGGACGGGACCGGAGGATCCGGCATTGATTTTCTTCACATCGGGGACGTCGGGACCGCCGAAGATGGTGAGGCATAGTCAGATCTCGTATCCGTTGGGTGAGTAAGGACTCAGATGAAGGCGGAGCCTATGCTGACGAGGGCAGCTCATAAGATTACTGGGAAGCACTGGCTGCAGCTTGAGCCGGGGAAGTTGTACTGGAATCTGTCGGAGCAGGGTAGGTCTAACCCCGGAAACGCCAGGTGTTCCAAGATCCTCTCTCTAATGACTTTTCCTAGGCTGGGCAAAGGCTGCTTGGTCCTTCTTCGGGACCTGGAACTGCGGTGCCAGTCTCTTCATCCACGATGATCGCCGCGCCTTCAGCGCTACGCGACTGCTGGACAACCTGCACAAGTACCCCATCACCACCCTGTGCGCGCCGCCGACCGCCTATCGACAACTCGTCCTGCAAGAGAACCAGAAATATCTCAAGGCGCACCCGCCCCGCGCGCTGGAGCACTGCACTGGCGCGGGAGAGCCCCTGAACGACAGCGTCGTCGAGACTTGGCAGCAGATGACCGGCCTGCCGATCCATGACGGCTATGGGCAGACCGAGACCATCATGGTGTGTGGGAACTTCCGCGGGATGAAGATCAAGCCGGGCTCCATGGGCAAGCCGTCCCCCGGCGTGCCGCTCTTCGTCATTGATGCCGACGGGAAGGAATGCCCGCCGGGCGTCGAAGGCGACATCGCCATCCTGCGGTCTAGCGATAGCTTCTTCGGCATCTTCGACGGTTATCTGAGTCCGAATGGTGAGCTCGATCGCCGCATCAAGATACTCGGAGGCCGGCCTTGGTACCTCACTGGGGATCGGGCCACGCGCGACGAGGAGGGGTATTTCTGGTTTGTGGGGAGGTCGGATGATGTGATCAACTCTTCTGGGTATCGAATCGGTGCGTTGTATCCTGGAATTATTCGTTCAATGCTGACCCTCTGAATCTAGGCCCCTTCGAAGTAGAATCGACACTCAAGCTACACCCAGCCGTAGTTGAGTCGGCGGTCGTAGCCTCTCCCGACGCGAACCGGGGCGAGGTCGTCAAGGCGTTCATCGTGCTAACCTCTCAGTACTCCGCAAAGACGCACAGCGAGGCCGAGATTGCGAGCTTGACACGGGAGATCCAGGAGTTCTGCAAGGCGCACGCGGCACCGTACAAGTATCCGCGGAAAATCGAGTTCGTAGGCGCCAACTTCCTGCCGAAGACCATCAGTGGGAAGATTAAGAGGGCGGAGTTGAAGGCGCTGGAGCGGAAAAGGGGAGGCGCCGCGGAGTCACAGGGACGAGGTGCAAAGCTGTAGTCAAGTGATGGATGGATGCGGTTTGCACAAATGATTCTTCATTCCCTATAGCATACTGCTGGAACTGAGATTGGGCCTGTGCTAGCGTATAGAGTCTTGCTGAAGAAACCGCACTTGGAGAGAATGATAGATGCGGCAGAGTAGCGTATAGAATATGCATGTTAGATGATAGAAAGTTATCAAGCCAGCGTCCTTTAATCAATTCGAGGAGCAATAGACCAATGCCTAGATGTGTAAGCAGATATCGGGATCACAATTCGCAGGAGACAAGCTTACGGATATATCCACGACGGAGCATCGAAGGGTTCATCCTTCCAAGTCGGACCAACCAGCGGCAAGAGCTCGTCAAGAAAGACCTTGTAGCCCGCACCAATGAGATGAAGACCATCAACCAGCAGACTCCTCAACTCTTCACTGTCCCCCATTTCCTTAGAGCCAAGCATCCCCGCACCCTGGACATAGCTAGGGTTCAACGCAACAGCCTCCTTCATCATCGCCGTCCAAAGATCAACCAGGACGACCTTCTGGTCTTTGAACTCGGCCGCCACCTCTCGGATCGCATCCGCGTACTGGGCTGTGACTCGCTGGAGCCGAGTGATTCCCGAGACGCCCTTCATGCGGTCATTTATCTCGAGCTGGACCTCATTGATGGGCGGCGGGGTCACGAGGAAGATCGTCGGTTGGTGGGCGGTGATCGAGGGGTGTGTGAGGATCGTCTTGATGTTGGCGCGGTATTCATCCAGCGGGACGTGTTGGCGTGTTGGGCTGGTGGGCAGACAGGCGTCGTTCGCGCCAACGAGGAGGAGCTTTGCTCTTCAGAAGCTGGTCCAAGCAGTACTAACTGAGGAGAACTGGTAAAGCATGGGGAAATGATCTTGCTCAGGATTGAGGGGGCGTGAGAGCTTGAGCGCACTTGAACACTTGCGAAGCCTCGATTTCTGACAGCGGCTGACTGCAGAGCTTATAGCAGAGTATGCAACAGCAGATAGAAAGAGAAGACAGACTTACAAGATAATCGACCTTGGCGCACGAGGGGGCCGGCACCAGCTCTGGAAGTATCCGAAGAAGATGCGCAGTGGTATATCCAGCCAGGCCTCTATTGACGACATCAAGCCGGCGCGAGCAATCTGCCAACAGACATTAGTTTAGCCAGACTGATTTGGAGGCACCGCCACTCCACCTACGCTCTTGAAGACCGGCCCCGAAGGCAAAGCCGCCATTGCTCAGGTAGCTGGAGTACCTGGAGGTGCGTTGGATCAGTATAGGATTCCCCCCTTATCGGGCACATGTCCAGAGGGAGAGCAGGCTTACTGGACAAGGCTGTCTCCAAGGAGGAGAAACTGGGGGTAGCGATTGGGTGCCGCCATAGTAGGTAGATTTGGTAGTGCACCAGGTTGACTGAAGGTGGACGGCCCAATTTCAATCTTCTAAAGCCAGAACCCCCTTAGCCCTTAGTTGCAACAAGCCGGTAACGTGAAGTTACTGAGTGTTTGGTATTGCCGGTCGTGGGAACGCAGATGGGACAGTTGATGTCATTGGCACTTTGCCTGAGCGATACAGAAGCAAAGGCAGTGATTAGGTAATACCGAGAAAAGGGGTCCTTGTCGTTGACCCCATCCAATGAGAATGCCCGCAAGCCAGGGCGGTGAGACGCTTCCGTCCCTTACCAGTCCCCATTCTTCGGCCAATCAGATTATAGGATTCGCTAAACATATACTTGGGACCCAAGATATGTCTTTAACGGATTGATTACCTTGATCAGGTCACGAAACTGTCCGTATAGGTATATAGGTTTGACCTAAGGTGAGATGTGAATTTTGAGGGGTTCGGGAAGAAGGGCACTAAGTACGCCGTGACTCGCGCCGTCAAGCTTCAAGGTGTCAAGGTGGGGTCCGTAGGTACCTCACTCACGTAAGATAGGTACCTAGGTAGGTACTCACTCATCTACGGAGGAGGAATTTTCATTAGATTTTGATATCAATATATTTGTTTCAAGACCCTTCCGAGCTCCGATCCCTTTGTTTCGCGGCAAGAGGCATACAATGAAACCCGTATAGCGAACAAAAGATGAGAGGGGTTCATCTTGTGCCTCCCGTTGTCCGGAGTACTTGGCAGTAAGTACCTGGGCAGCTGTAGTAGCCTCTTGCGCGGGCCCGGAGGATATCTACCCAAGGTACCCAATCAGCTTTTGAGCTGAGAGAGCCGGACTGGATAATGAATGGATCACCAAGAGCCGCCCTGGCTACCTTAAAGGCTTAAAGGAATAGTAGCCCGTGCGTAGATATCTAAGATTCTTAAGGTAAATAACTCATTTATTGAACTCACCGGGAATAGCCTCTAACACCTGGACTGAGGACAGGTGACACCCGTATAGAATCCATCACAGGACGGAATGTCTTAGATAAGAAGACCCCTAAGCTTAGCTATCCAACGGATGTTAGTCGACTCCCAGACGCTGTCCTGGCTCTCTTATAATAAATAATCTGCCCGCGGGGAAAAGAGGAGCGAAACAACATCGCAGCCTCACTGCCTCGTTGGCCTTGCCGCCTCATCCAACCTTGCTTCGCCTTACCCCAACCTCATCTCACCTCGCCTCGCCTCGCCCTGACCACGCCTGTTCTCCAGACTGTCGCGCGAATGTGATCCTGATCCTGATCCCCAGTCCTGTCCAAAATGTCCGCGAAATCCAGACGTCCTCCGGATTTGACCATGAGTCTGCCTGATTCTCCGGATCCTGCCTCGACCCCAGACTCGCCAACCTACTCAAGAAGAGCGCCTCTCCTCAGGGCGACGAGCAGTGTTTCCGTGTCAGAAGTCACCCCTCTCCTCCAGCCTGGGACCTCCCGTCGCAGTAGGATTCGTCTTCCAGTGAGCCTCGACCGCTTCATTCCCTTCTCGAGAGTTGGCTCGCCTGTACACCTTCTTTCCATAGCATATGCTAATTAATTGTGTCCGCTATAGTCTGACATTCCTCGTTTGTCGCGGCACAATAGCAGATCTGGTAAGTTGATTCGGGGTTATTGAGGGGATCTTCTACTAGGAGAGCATGTTCTCATAAACTGACTTTGCCCCGCCCAGGGAGTCTCAGGAGCACTCGACACCACAACCGCGCCGAATCATGGAGCCAACGCCTGGTTACTGCGCTGACCACAGACCACCACATCAGAGACCATACGAGGGAGTCCAAAGTCCCAGCCGAACCAGATGACCGTGTATGGTACGATCAGTTCACCTCGACGGACTGGGTACACGACAGTATTGCCGATGCCTATCGACTCAAGGCCCTTCGAAGTCGGACGGACATACGCGGACGCATAAAGGCCTTTTTTGACGGAACACAAGGCTGGATCCTCAGCGCTCTCGTAGGCTGTCTTACTGCAACAATAGCTTACGCCGTGGATAAATCGGAAGCCCCAGTATTTGATTGGAAGGACGGGTACTGCTCGAAAGGCTTTTTCCTGAGCGAGAAGGCATGTTCCCTTGGAATTTCCTTTCGTCCATTCCTTGTGCTATCCTTTGAGTTCCCAAGGTTCTGTTCATTAAGGGTGGTTACGCTGCATTCAGTGTCGTTGGCCCTCTGTAGGCCCTTTTGCATATGCAAAGGGACACCGAAGCATATTGGCGTAGATACTAAATACCATTCCTTCTCTGTGAACTCACGGTGTGACATAAGACATAACTGACGTGTTGACAGAGATGCTGCCCTGAAGGAGGCCGATGTGATTCTTGGAAGCCGTGGTCAAGTTATATCCAGATTCCTCATGTCAACGAGGGGTCAGTGGAGTATGGCATATTCATATTACTAGTAGTGGCATTCTCCACACTCTCCTGCGTGTTGACCCTCACCACGAAAACTGTTGTGCCATCGACCTACCGCATCTCCACGCTCGATGAGAATCTGGGTGCGCCAAACCTACAAGAATCTAATTCACCAAACGATGTTGCAAGCCCCGCGCAGATTGACAAACCGGAAGTTGCTCCTCCAATGATCTACTACTCTGCCGCAGGCTCTGGGGTTGCGGAAGTGCGCGTAATCCTCAGTGGATTCGTTCTTCACGGATTCTTGGGTGTAAAGACCCTTGTCGTCAAAACAGTAGGTCTCATATTAAGTGTTGCTTCGGGCCTGAGCTTGGGCAAGGAGGGACCGTTTGTCCACATCGCAACCTGTGTGGGTAACATTGCTTGCCGATTGTTCTCCAAATACGATAACAACGATGCTAAGCGCAGAGAAGTGCTGTCAGCCGCCGCCGCGGCTGGAGTAGCAGTAGCCTTCGGGGCTCCGATTGGAGGAGTCCTCTTCTCACTCGAGGAGGTGGCGTACTTTTTCCCGGCAAAGACGCTTTTCAGGACGTTCTTTTGTTGCATATGTGCAGCCCTTACTCTTAAATTCCTAGATCCCTATGGGAATAGTAAAATTGTTATGTTCGAAGTCCGATATCTCACAGACTGGCAGTTCTTCGAACTCACCGCCTTTATTGCAGTTGGCATACTTGGTGGAGCTACAGGTGCCCTATTCATCAAAGCATCCCGGAAGTGGGCTCAGTCCTTCCGCAAGATCCCGGTTATAAAGAAACGACCTCTTGTTGAGGTCATGTTAGTTGCGTTACTCACAGGCGTCGTCAGTTACTGGAACCCTTACACGAAGATCCCGGTTGCGAAATTACTCTTGAACGTAGCAAGTCCTTGCGATGCCGAAACTCGAAATGATCTAGGCCTCTGCCCCGCTGATATGGACGAAATATTCCCAGTTGTCCGAGACCTAGCCATTGCGTTCTTTATCAAAGGGATTCTGACAATCGTCACATTTGGCATTGTAAGTCACTCCTCCTAGCCGATTAAAACGAGGTCTTCCCGTATATACCTTATCCATAAGTTCTGCAATTGATCCAGTATCTCAATCTTTGAATGAACTATTTGCTAACCTATTTTATAGAAGGTTCCAGCTGGCATATATGTCCCATCTATGGTGGTCGGCGGCCTAGGGGGACGTATGATCGGTCATATAATACAGTGGATCGTACTGAGATTCCCTACCTCGCCTCTCTTTGGAGACTGTGCTGCACATGTCTCTGGCCAGTCTTGTATCACTCCGGGTGTATATGCTCTTATTGCTGCAGGCTCGACTATGTGTGGAGTTACTAGGTTATCTGTGACGCTAGCAGTCATTCTGTTTGAGCTGACGGGCAGTCTTCACTATGTGCTTCCTTTCTCACTCGCCATTCTTGTGGCGAAATGGACCGCGGACTTCATTGAGCCTCTCAGCATTTACGTGAGTTTTCATAACCCAGACTATCAAGACGTTGCTGAACCTTGCAGGACCTGTTAACCAACTTGAATTCGTACCCGTATCTAAACAATAAACACAAACCCATTTTCACGTCGGATCTCGCTGATATCATTCCTCGAGTTCGACGGGAGAGGCTCATTGACATCTCCACCTCTCCACTGGTTTCGGCAGAAAGCCTTCGTGAGAAGCTTGAAATCCTGCATCAGGCTGGGGAAATTGATGGCGGGCTTCCAATCATTAGAGACGACATTCTTGTTGGCTTGATTCCTGCTCCGGATCTCGAATTTGCGCTTGACAATCTTGAGGATGAATCCAATAGCTTATGCCTCATGGCTTCTGTCACTTCGTTCGATTCAGATGATGAGAGGGGCAAAGATCCTACAGATTTCACACCCTATATTGATCCCGTAAGTTGGGAGATTAGTTTCCGAGTTGCTGAGTGTGCTAACGAATCCCCAATAGGCGCCACTTGCTCTCGATATTCGCTCGCCGATGGACTTGGTGTATGAATGTTTTGTGAAGCTCGGCCTGAGATATGTTTGTGTAACGAGAGAAGGCCGGTTTGCTGGATTGGTGAGTAGTTGCGACGATAGGCTATGGCAACTGACTGACACACTTTCTAGACGCATAAGAAAACGTTTGTCAAGTACATGCGGGAATTGGAAGAAAAGGAGGGGCATGTTTGAGTGGGATATTGGGCATTGGCATCAGCGTTTTGCATAGTGAGGGCCTAGTTTGTTATACTGGCACATTTTGATAGGAGTTCGCATGTTCATACCCTTGTCTGTACCATAGAAGTTTGATATGGGCATCCGCATTGACCTTTGGGGCGACTCGTTTTGGGTGGAGGTTCACGATAGAATCAATCCCTAACAGTAACATTTGAACTTTTGCTAATACTGTTCTACGAAACGGCTTCTATTACACATTACGAGATATACAGTACTCTGAACCATTATCGCCATCCAAAAGCGAAGTGCTTAAATCCCAACCCTATATCAACGCACTGCCCGGAATGCTACTTATCGAATAAATGGGATCCCAACCTGAGTTCTCTTCCTATATGCCACGTAATCGTCCCCAAAAAACCCGACCAGCAACTTTTCTTCGCCCTGGATCCTTTTATAGAAAAATCTCCAAAGCACCACGGCAAACCCCACGAAGCAAACCGGATTCCCAAGCACTAGCTGGGTGCCCAGACCCCACCAGAAGAAGCCGAAGTATGACGGATGCCGCAGATAGCCGTAGATGCCCGTGGTGACCAGCTGATGCGACGACGCCTTGGTACGCTGGATAATATGATTAAAATTGGTCCCCGCGGCAATCATGGCGCCGGAGCGGACGGCCTGGCCCAGGGCCACGAGGCCCAGGCCGAGGAACAGCAGGGCGCGGTGCCAGACGGGCGGGAGCCACTGGCGGTCCGGGAAGAAGTAGTGCGACAGGCTGCACTCGATGATGGCGGTGGTGTGGGCGATGTTATAGGCGGAGCCGTTCTGCGACAGCAGGAAAGAGGAGATCTGGGCGGCGCGCGTGTTGTAGCGGGCGGTGGTCCAGAACTCGAGGAAGTGGAAGAGCGAGAGGATGCTGATGAAGAAGGGCACGCGCCAGAGGGGCGAGTCAGTCGTGAGGAGGAGGTGCAGGGCGAGGCTCAGAGAGAGCGTCAACGTGCAGCCGAGGATAAATGAGCGTGTTGCGATCCCCGACAGCGACTTGTGCTGGCCGGGGAGGAACTGCTTGTCGTACATCTCGAGGACGGCGGGGATGCTCATGTCTTGTTGGAGGGCGGTCGCAGGTGCGTTCACACCCACGGGGCTGTGGTCAATCCCACCATTGCTTTCTCGTGCAGAACTGGGCCCCCTTCTGCTAGTCGGCGGCCTCCACGATCCATCCGGGCGGTTGTCGTGAGAGAGGCCTGAAGCGTTGGGAGAAGAAGTTATCGAGTCCATGGTGAGAGAATGGTAGCTGCGGCTGCACGAAGGACCTGCAACTGCTGCGAGTCCAGATTGAAGATGAAAAGGCTTTCCCGACGGCTGCTCGTGCTCATATTATCCTGGGGAAGGGCAAAGAAAAGGCATCCCTTGATCCGCCTCTTTGTTGGTGTTTTCTTGGAAGATGCTCTGTGTGGGCGCCTCGTCAGGAATGCTCCACAGCCTCGTGCGCAAGGGAGAAAGAAAATCGCACCGGAACAGGTTTAGCCGCGGCAGAACCCAACACCGCCCTTGGAGTTGGTGTGGTACGGGAGGCTAGCTGAATACGGAAACTCTTTCATTCTTCCTTGTTGGCGACGGACAAAGGGCCATCTACCCTATACTAGAAAATAGACCGATGTTTTGCTGAAAAACAGGGATAAAACCCCCTGTAAAACATAGGTATTTCTCTTAATTCTTATTAGTTCGCTACCCTATTCGCCGCCTTAGGCCTCTACACGCGCTGTACGCGTTCTCTTACCTACCTACCTACCTATATTCTTATTCTTTATTTAACGCGTATCCTCCCTCTTACCTCTTCCTTACTTTATACAGATCCTTCTGTTTCGTCTGTTTTAATCCGCTCTCTACCTACTACTTAGCTGTTCTACTTTAATTTAGCGGCCTCTAACGCGATAGAATCCCTTACGCTATCCCCTCTTATTTAGTACAAGACTTATAACAAGCTCTGTCCTACTGTCGACTTTACTATTAATAGGAACAAGGCCTGTTACAAGAAGTGTTTTTAGTATAAGGTATATAGTTATAGCTTTCTATAGTAAAGCTAACCTTTCTATTACTATATAAGATCGCGTAGAGTAGACTATACTTAAAGATCTTGATCCTAATACTAATAGGGCGTGCCTAACCTGTTAAACCGCTACCTAGCTAGCCTCTAAGGCCGAGCTTACAAGTGCCCCTACTCTAAAACAAGGACGCTACTACTAAGGTACTATAATATACTTGCCTATAGTATCTATACCTCTACAGCCGCCTAGACGTCCTCTTAGTATAGACGTACCTATACCTTTACGCCTCTCTAGACGCCCTTATATAGACGTGCCTATACCTTTATAGTAGTAAGGCCGCCCTTACTAAGATCTTATAGACACTACTTTAACCTATAGAGGTTTTATAGTATATAAGGACCTTGTTTCTAGACTGCTTTTAAGTCTATAAGAAGCTATTATAATAGATAACCTAGAATTACGGCTTTTTATATAATCCTCTAAGTTCTATAACCTAAACTTTACGCTACTATCTATCTTTAAGCTCTATAATCTATACTAGTTTTACGATCCTTAACTCTCTCCTAAACTCTTAGATCCTTTCCTCTCTCCTAAACTCTTAGATCCTTTCTTAACCTTATAAGCCCTAGTTATACAGCCCTTATAATAGTCTAGTAGTAGTCTATAACCCTTTATAGCTAGAGACGATCTTATACCTAGTAGACCTAGTAGACCTAGTAGACCTAGTAGACGATACCTAGTAGCGTTCTTATCTAGCTTTAATATTAGGGCTAAGGCCTATAGTTTAGGCTATATAATATAGGTCTATTATTACTACTATACTTTATAGTAGGTTAAGGAAGGTATGTTATGTTACCTTAATAAGAAGGTAGATCTCTTACTTATTACTAACCTACTACGCTTTTTATAGAGGCTCTTAAATAAGAGAGATACTTATAGTATAGACTTCTTAAGAAGTATATAAAGGTATAACTTAGTACTTATACTTACGTCTTATAATTTTACGTAAGACACTTGTTTTAATACGTTATAAAGTATCTACGTCTTCTTAATCTATAGTAAGCTCTACTACCTCTAAGGGCCCCTAGACACGCTACTAAGCTAAACCCCTTCTTTTATCTAGCTATTTATTTATAACCCGGATTATACTAACTCTATTTAGTTATAGACGTTTATAGGTTTAAACCTTAGAGTCCTTTATAAGCTTTTATAATAGCTTTATAATAATAATCGTTTTGTAAAGGTATATAAGATAGCCTGTAAGCGGCTCTATAAACAAGAAGGTAAATAAGAAGGCGTTTTCTAGATACTATTAAATCTATAGATATAGCTAGTTCTAGAGTAAGGTATAGATTATTATAGGTATAACCTGCCTATAACTAGTAATAAGCTTACGGCTATTATTACGTACAAAACAATAAAAGTAACGTACTATAATATTATTCTTATAGTCTATAACCTAGGTATAAATAAGCGCTCTCTTAAGTAGATTAATCTTACGACTATAGTGTATATACCTCTTTACTATATACTTTTGTTTCTATATAAGGACTATAGCTAGTACTATAGGTTAACTCTTTATAACTAGAACAGTACTTATTAGTAGACCTGTCTATAGTAGCGCTAGTTCTATTAGTACTATCTTATAGCCTATAAAGGCTAGTTTTTAATCCTTTACTACTCTAGACGCCTGTTCTAGTAATATTATATTAATAGTTACGTCTATACTAAGTATACTACTCTTAACTAGATTAAGTAGAACTAAGATAAGATACAGGCCGATCTCTACTAGGGCTTAGTAGATATAATAACCTATAAGGATTATGTTAACCCTAAAGAGCTTAGCTATAAGGTAATCGTCCTTCTAGCCTCTTATATAAGAGGCGATAAGAGTATATAATAGTAGTATTAGGACTTAATAGCTATTGTTTGTTACTTTAGTAAGCTAACCCTTTTTATTACTTTTATAGCTAACCTAAACTAGCTAGAGATTAGGGATTAGCTATTACTAGGCTAGACAGCTAGTAATTAGCCTAATATAGTAGTCTACATCTTTTACTAGAAGGTTAACAAGCTACTAAAGGACGTTTATAAGGGTATTTTTAGGCTGTATAGTACTTACGTTTATACGATTAAGTACTAGAAACACGGCCTACTATATATATACCTATTAGTGTTCCTTTAGGTAGACTTAGATTACCTTATACCTAACTAGATTAATAAAATCGTCTATACTAAGCTTTTACCTTGTTTATAAGACTTATTAGAGAAGTTAATAAGAGTCGTTATAAAACAGATAACCTATAGCCCTTATAAGGATAACGACCCTAACTGTCCTTATATATAAAGTAAGACGCCTAACGGCCTAAAAACGTACTTAAAACTCTTTCTTAAGGCCTTTATAAAATAGACGATCGTCTAAGAGAATTTGTACCCTAAATACTAACGCTAAGACAATAGGTATAAGTTTATAGTCCTTAAACTAGGCTACCCTAGCTAAGTAATAACCTATAATAATCGTTAAGTAGTTCCTTATAACCTATACTTACTTTAGAAGTTCTACTCTTATATTAACGTTAAGGTTTATATAAGTATTAAGGCCGTAAAGTATATATATAAGTATGTTTATAAGGGTTTAGATCGTACGACTATAGCCGTTTTAGAAACAGACGATATTAACGAGATTACGTAGTACGTTTAGGCCTGTTATATAAGAGTAATAGAGGCGTACTAGCGTTTATTTAATTTTAGGTATTACTAAGAGTTCTTATACATTAAGCGTTTAGCCTTATACTTAAAGGGTTAATAGGCTGTCTTTTTTAATAAAGAGTTAACCTCTTCTTAGTTAGCTATAAAGGCTAAAATAGCTAAGTCAACCTTAATAAGCTTCTTTAACTATAATACCTGTTAGGATTCTAATCTAAAAAGACTATACTAAGAGTTCCTTAACTACTATATATAGTATAAGAAGATAAGGTAGTAGCGCCTATAGTAAAAAGGGTAGGCTATTAGCTGTATATACTACTATAGTCTTATTATAAGTAAGTATTACTACTTATAGCTCTTACTTACTATTGTTTCTAGTCTAAAATCGTTTAAGGAGCTGTACGAATTTAATAGCTAAACCTACCTAACGTATTACGCTATGTACGTAGTACGTAAGTTATATAAGAGTAATTAGAAGTAGTTTTAATACTTTAATAAGGCTAAGCTCTTTATGTCTAAGAGTAGGTTATAGACGCTTTTTTTGTTAGGTATTTGTTATAAGGCTATTACAGATCTAACGGCTCTATAAGATTAGTTTAAGAATGATCTATATAACGATTTATACTACTAGCTTAGGTAGGCGCCTACTAGCTCTTTTCCTTTCTTATTACTTAATCCTTACTATAATTACAGACTGTTTCTAATAGAAAAGAGGCTTATAGATCTAGGTAAGTCTCTAGTAAGCGTATAGTTACCTAAAAACAGGTTTGATTAGTCTTAGGTAGAGGCTATAAGGGAATAGTACAATCTTATAACAAAGGCTACTCTAGCTAAAGATCTTAGACGAGATTTAAATAAGGGCTAGAAGAAGTACTTTAATACTATTGTTATAGCTATAGAAAATAGCCTAGAAACAGCCTACTTTTATCTCTAAGGCCCTAGTAGTACTAGTAAGACGTACCTTTACTAGACCCTTTACTACTACTTTTAGGGCTTAAGTAAGGCAGTTTTTTATATTATCTCTATAAGTATTATAGGCCTCTTACTACTAGGTAGCTATACTTCTTACTCTTTGTTTAAGATCCTTATCCTTATATATAAGGTGTCTAAGAGTATAATAACTAAGACTTTATAGGCTAGAAGGCTCTTACGATAGGCTGATTTAATTATCTAGAACAAGGTTCTTATACAAAACAAGCACTATTTTAAGGTAGTCTACTAGCTATTTATTAACTTATAAGGTACTATAGATAATGTTCTCTTTAGTAGTATACTTATTATCCTTAGTAAGGACTTTACTTAGATCTTTCTAGTCGTCTATTATAGCTTGTAGGCTAATATTATTATAGTATCCCTTTAAAACACGTAGATCTAGCCGTAGCTTAAGTAGTTACGCCTATAGACTAATATATAAGTAAGAGACAGTCTACTAGATTAATAGTTTATATAGTAGATTAGTAGCCTACTATACGACTCTACCCTTTATAGCTAGGTAATAATACTCTTATATATCTCTTAGCCTTAGACTATACTTAAGCTTATTAATACTATTTACCTAAAGGCTCTCTTATAGTAGGCTATTACAGACTATACCCTCTTTTATAAACAGGTAATCTTGTCTACCTTAAACAAGACTATAATAGAGCTAAATTACTTAGTCTATAGTCTGTTTAATTATAGAAGTAACAAACGTACCTATATAGTAGTTAACTTAGTAGACGTAAACAATACTAACCCGGACGTTATAGTACTACTAGTTAAGTACTTATAGAGTATCGATCTCTTATTACTACCTTTGTTAACCTTAAAACTTAAGATAAGGACTCTAATTATAGTGTTATAAAACCTGTACCTTTAGTAAAGGTTATGTAACAGGTTGTAGATAGTCGTTACTAAGCTACGGCCTTACTATATTAAGGCCTAGTTTATTAGTAGTAACTTTAACAAGTAGTTATAGACGATCTTATGTATTAAGTTATTATTAAATAAGAAAGACGCTCTCTCTTTTACCTTAATCTATAAGTAGTTTCTAGTCTATCTAAGCTTTACTATAACGATTAACAAGTCTTAAGGATAGTCGTTTATACGTATTAGGCTAGATTTATAGTTCTTTGTTTTCTTTTATAGTTAGTTCTATATAGCTATCTCTTAGGTTACGTCTATAGTAGGCCTGTCTGTTCTTTTACTAGAGAGAGTAAGTACTACTACTAATATTATCTACCTAGAGGTATTATAGGATATTAATCTAATAAAGTAATCCTTTATAGTTTAATAGTATATAGCGTTAGCTATATACTTATAGCGTTATCTATTTTTATAATACTATATATATTATATACTATATATTATTCTTTTATAGGTATTATATCTATAGTTTATAGTCTGTTTTTACTATTTATAAGCGTTAAAGAGGTTTTAGGTATATACTTTAGTATAATTATTCTAGTTCTATTATATAACCCTTATAAGGGCGCCCTTTATAGGACTTAGTAGTCTATAAACTATACCTCTACTCTTCTTCTTTATTATTATTATCCTTATCTTTTACCTTAGCTTAGGCTAAGATAGTAAGCTTAAGCTAGATTTTAGCCTAGCGGCCTACGATTTCGGCCTAGCCTAGGGTTTAGGCTTTATTAAGAAGTTAGGTAAAGTAGCTACATAGTGTAAGTAGTACTCTAATAGCGCTAGTACTAGGGACAGTAGAAATAAGGCTATAAGGGCTAGGGCTATAGTAAAGACAAGGGCTAGTAGTAAGGTAGGTAGTAAGTACGTATACTAGGGCCGGGACTAGTAAGAAGGTAGTAGCTATTAATAGTTAGTTATAGACTTATAATTAAGATATTATAAGGCGTTACTATTAGTAGCTAAGGCGATAGTAGAGAGGGCTACTATACGTAGTAAGTTTTTTGTCTATATATAATAAGGGTAGTATACTTATAGTAACGTAAGGGGTAAGGGCCTAAGGCTAGGGCTAGGGCTACTAGGGCCGTAAGTATAGCTCTTAAGGCCTATACTAGTAAGACAAGTAGTATAACAAGTAGGCTAAAGGGTATAGGCACGGCCGCGAATATAGTATTAATAGTAGATATAAGGGCGGCAGATAGCGCGAGTATAAAAGTCTAGCCTATAGCCTATTAGTTATAGTATGCCCTAAATCTACCTTATTAAGTTAACTTATAGAGAGAGTAACAGATCTCTTTACTACTATAGTAGTAATTCGTACAGCTCTAACTTAGCTGTCTGAGTACTATAATATACTCTATCTATAGGCTAGTACTATTTTAATAATAGTTATAGCCTAAAAGGTTTACCTAACCTACGATATAAGTAAGCTTTACCTTTAGGTTACTAGCCTAGTTTTAGTTTAGCGGGTTACGGCCTAGATAAAGAGTCGCTAGCTACTATAGTACTATAGTAGTAAGGGCCGTTATAGTGTAGGTAGTATTCTAAGAGAGGAAGAGAAGGGTAATAGCCTTAATAAATAGGTTAGTATTAAGGTACGCTTTATATTTAGGGTCTTTAGCTAACTTATAAGGTAGTAAGGGCGGCGGCTATAGTAGTAGTAAAGGCAATAGCCTTAATAGACAGGTTAGTATTACTATACGCTCTATATTTAGGGTCTTTAGCTAACTTATAGGGTAGTAGTAGTAGTAAGGGCCGGGGTAATAGCGGCTATAACGCTAGCTAAGAACACGGCTTTAAAGCTAGAAGAGGGAGAGCTAGAGACTAAGCTAGCCCGACTATTAATAGGCCGTTAGCTACGTATATAGTAGTCTATTACAGCTAGAGGTAAGTAGTTACTTACGTACTAGTAAGAGAGTTACTATTATAGGCGAGGGAGGTTAGTAGCCTATTAGATCTATTAGTCTCCTTACTCTCTAGATCTAAGGGTTAACTTACTATAAGCCTCTATAAATTATAGTACTCTTAGTAGGCGTAAAAAAGTCCTTCTCGAATCTATCTATCTAGAAATAGTCTATAAGGTTAGGAATAACAGGCCGTAAGTAAGGCCGTATACTAACTTTGTCTTTAGTGTTATAGTTATAGTTAAAGTTAGAGTTATAGTTATAGTTATAGTTAAAGTTAAAGTTAGAGTTAGAGTTAGTAGTAGGTAGGATAAAGGATCGTTAAGATCGAGTTTCTATATAGCTAACTACTACTATTGTCTCTTTTAATAGTAACAAAGAGATTAATTAAGCCCCTTACAGCTAATAAGAGTACTCTATCCGTAAGTAGCGATTTTAATATCACGTGCCGTTACTATTGTCGTCTACAGGTAATAAGAGCCTTAATTGTTCTATAGGTAGCTTACTAATCACATATTTTTAGGTCACGTGTCTAAGCATTGTACCCACGCGAGCGAAGCGAGCGATTGCATCCTAGTCTTCTGAAGTCTATAAGCCTATTAACTATGGATGCAAACTCCCACTCGGGCCCTTCGGGACTGGAGCATATTGACGAGGCAGAAAATGAAGCTCGCATGCTTCGAGGAGAGCTTTACCACGCATTTCGGCCCAAGTTAACGGCCAAGCGGAATCGCTGTCACCATGCCTGCCATAGGTTTAACGCTGCTGGGGAGGCTTCTCGTCGAAGATTGGTTGAGCTTTGGAGAGAGTAAGGACTTCACCGCGTGTCTTTCATAATGTGAATCTTAGATATTAAGTGACAATTGATATTTCCCCTTGCCTACAATCTGACATGCGGTTTCAGTGTTGTCGATGACAAGAGCCCTCTGCCTCCGCCAGTTGACACAGAGGAGGAAGATGAGATCCTTCTTCAGAACGAGCCATATATTGATGGGCCAATCAAGGTGGATTATGGAACAAACCTCAGGTAGTCCCAACACAGACGACTGTCGTCTGCATACTCATTAACACCCTTCCCCCTAGACTTGGTAAAGGCGTCTACATCAACTTCAACTGCACCTTCCTTGATACCTGCTTGATCACCATCGGCGCCCGCACTCTTATAGGTCCAAACTGTTCTTTTTATTCCGCCACGCACCCTCTTGATCCCTTCCTCCGCAATGGCATCAAAGGCCCTGAACTGGGCAAGCCCATCACAATTGGCGAGGATTGTTGGTTGGGAGGCAATGTCACCATCCTCCCCGGAGTCACTATTGGTAGAGGTGTTACTGTTGGTGCTGGAAGTGTTGTGACTAAAGACGTACCTGCGTTTCACTCCGTGGCTGGCAATCCTGCTCGGATAATCAGAAAGATTGAACCCAAGGCACCAGACCCTGCCTTGCCTGCTCAGAAATAGGCGGCACGAGAACCTCCAAGCACGGAAGCTTTAGATTTAGCATCCAGGGTGCATATATCTCCTCTTGGCCTGGCTTTGGCTGGAAATTACGGATGTATGTATCCCGAAAGCGAGGGGATTCATTAGAGACCGCCTTGAATAGAGAATGACGATAGAATAAGAACCAAAACGTTGATCAATGACCATATAAATGGAATCCATGTTGACATTCGAAAGTATCCAGCGTTGTAGACGGCTCCAAGACTAAGTTATGTTAGCAACCGTAGATTAGAGATGGTATAATGGCCAGGAAACTTTGCATCTGAATAGCTCAGAGCAACAGAATCCCATACGTACATTAACCCGACAAAGCTCCCCGCCAATAATGCCTCAACTCCAGCCACGAAAGCATATACCAAGGGTATTACCCAAACATATTGCCAAGCCTTCTCTCCCTTCCCCAACTGCATAAGAACTGCAAAAGCGGCTACCGCCGCGTGAAAGACGGCGAAGAGGATGAGTGTCCACAGCAAAGTATAGCGCCATATGTCGTGAGTATAGTATAGGTAATTCGCGACACCTGGTTTGGCTTTGTATGGCCAATAAAGGGATGGGAATGGGGGAGTAGCGTAATCGAGAGGAGCAGGGTCTTCAACACGAGTACTGTGCATAGTTAGTTCTAGTTACCGTTGATCATGGAGATAGAGGTTCTTACTACACAGCCATGGCGAGCTTGGATGGGCTCCGCGATGAGGCGGAAGGTATCAGCCTCGTGGCCTGGCGGTTGGTTGAGGTGAGGTTACCGATTTGGCGCGAAAGGCTGAAGGCTTGAAGATGCCTCGGTTGTTTTACGTGCGAGCTCCAAAAGCAGTCAACATCCCACCTCACTTCCAACACTACGACGCGACATGGAAAATAGGAGGAAGAGATAATCACGAAATCATGCCGGCAGATCGCCTTCTCACTACCGTGCTTCGGGCATTTCAAGGCGTTCCCGACCCTCAGCAAACAAACAGAATCCTCTCTAGTACCACGTCCCTACTCACGACTCTCACGAATCCACTCAACGTCACTCTCCTTACATCCCAACTCCTCACAGCACCAGCAATATGGGATAGACCCGATGGTCTTGAAACTTCTCTTCGTATAATCAGCCTCTTCAATACGGCAGCAATCACAGTCCAGAAAAACCAGGTTCAAGGCCACGAAAAGCCATATGATGCCTACCAACCGAGGCAAGGGGGTGGAATCAAGTGCGATGACTGGGCAAAAGCCGTTATCAAGGGAGCTGATGATCGCTCATCGCGATGGCAACATTTGTTGGTCATTGGAGGAGTATTGCTGGGAATGGAGGGCCAAAACAGACAAGGACTATCAAGAGGATTGAGAACGACAATTGAACGGGCTATTGTCACAGCCGCGAACCTGGCTCTGGAGAATCCAGCGAATCTTGGAAGCCTAGGAGCAGAATCTATTGTGCTTGCTCTTAACCATACCTTTCCATTATTATCGGATGGCATTAGGAGCGGACTGAATTACGATGCATTGGTAATGGTCATGCTTCATGCTATGACCTTGAACGAGGGCTATCAAGATGGCTATTTTCTTCGAGCCATTGACTACGATGTTATACAGGCCTCTGGAAACAAGTTTGATTGGTCTGCAAAATCTCCGTCGTTTCTACAGTTACAGAAGATGTCATCCAAACCTCTGATATCGTCGATGGGCCCCCTTTCAAGGCTGATCGCTCACGCTATTGAGAATATGAGCAACTCCTTACGTGTTGCAGAGATTAGCGAGCATTTACTTGCTTTTGCTGATAGGATTTTGGTTTCATGGAGGCATAACAAGCTATCTGAGATTGACTCCTCCGAAGAGGAGACTTTTCTCACACCCGAAACTCTTCGAGTCACCTTTCCACTATTATGGCAAGTCTTGAAAGGTGCAATGTTTGCCACGGTGATTATATTACGGGCCATCATTGGAAGGACGCTGGTCGATCCTAGATTGGCTGGGAGGCTTGCGCCAGCGACTGCCTCCCGATCCCTCTCAATTCTTCAAAAGATACACTTTATCTCCTGCCGCCTAGGCTCAAATGCATTCTCAGCATATACATTTGTCAATCTGACATCAATTGACATTCTGTCTCGATACCCAGCCGAATCAAGAGACTTCCTGAAAACGATATATCCTACCGAGGCCGGTCAAATCCCTTCCAGCCCTCTGCAACGCAATCTGGATCTCTTCTATCTCAATACTAGCGAGCACTTCACTCTCGCCCTCTCGCCCTCAGATAATGAATCTCTGATCGTCACACCCGCCTTGCCTTACCTTGATCCAGCTGCGAATGCACAGCTCCGTGAAATATTTGAAGCCGGACATAGTGCCATGCTTGCCGTACTAGCTGTTCCTCAAAATGCAGACTTGGCAGCTAGGATCCTTCCCTTTTATACGGAATCACTGTTTAAGTCCTTCCCTACGAATCTGTCTCCTCGACAATTCCGGTTTGCGTTCAAGGCTTTGATTCAAATCACTACTCCGCCTTCACCATTATCTGCGTCCCACCCTATGCTTTCGGAAACACTGTTAGAACTCCTACGTCACCGGTCACTTAATGCACCAACATCACCGTTGCCACCTTCAGGGTTGGTTAAAAGTGGTTCGGATGCTCCGGAGCTGCCCCCTTTATCGGAGCAAGCGGTACTGCTATTAACACTCCTGGATGCTCTACCAAATCTCCCTCTTCATCTTTTAGAAGAATGGCTACCGTTAACAGCGGATCTATTGAATGCGGTTCAAGATGGAAAGATGAGGGAGCATTGTAAGGAACGGTTCTGGGAGGTTCTGGAGAGCGGAGAAATGGATGTGGAGAGGAGTGCTGTCTGCGTGAGTTGGTGGTCCACAAGGGGTGGGAGAGAGAGAGTCTTGTTCGGAGATTCAGACCGGGGACCTTTTATGAGTGGAGGTCTGGGGGAGAATGAAAGAAGTCGTCTGTGAGCCATGGGCACCTAGGATAGGGGGTCAGGTTACTCCGCAAAAGCTTGGTACTATATAACAGCGCGTCTAGATGATCGAATGGGGATTTATATATATTATGACGGACTGGGTATTTCAAATCTTAATGTTCTTATTCTTGCAATACCTTGATACCTTACAGTGCCTGCTGTTGCTCTTCGTACGTGGTAGGTGCTGCCGGCTATATTTCGATCAGATGCATCTGCCCGGAATACCGTTCTTGGTATAAAAGCGCAGTTCGACTTCGCAGGATCTTGAGGAAACCGCTAGATCGTCCTTTATCTGCTACATGTTACTTTTAGTTGACAATTTTATTAATTTATTTGACTCGTATCCTCGTAAATACGCTGCCTATAGGTAGCGGATAATGTGGGGGATAGCCTCGTCTCTTGTTCAAACCTTAAAGAAACGAGGCGACATGTTAACGTCCCTTACTTACCTGTTAGAGATTCTGTCCCATTCCCATCTTCATTCCAACACAACTATTTACGACCATCGAAACGTCTCCCTCTTTACGTGAACCCGACCCAGCTCACTGCAGCAAAGAACCGATCTTGCTCGTTGAAGAATCGCCTCATCATCATCCGTGGCCCATCTCAACTTCCCATTCCCGCCCAGCAAACGTACGTGACCTCCCCACGTCGAAGTGGTTTGAGTATACCCATCGCAGGCATACACTTCTTTCTCACTGCTTTTACTGCGACCGGTACAAAGCCATTCACTTCCCACAATAATACACGACCATCTCCAACGAATCAACACTTCCCCGACCATCTCACGTCTGCCTTGAATCCTACCCCTTCAGAAACGGAACAGCACCTCCTTTTGCTTGGGATAACAAACGAATATCGACGATAAAGTGTGAGCAGTGACCGTCGGTCTCAGGCCGATGCGGTGGGGGAGGTGGCCATCGTGATCTTTGCGAGATAACGACAGCCCGAAGGTGCTGCTTGCTCCCCGGACACAGAGCTCCCTGGAAGTATTGGAACTCGCTGGTATCGAGAAAACCAGGGACATTCTATAATTTCAAACCCTTGTGGCTCTTCGGCCCAGGTAGAGAATACCTTGGAGACATCTGCGCGACTCAATCATCAAGGCTGGCCTACAGAGCGAGATATAATCAAGATACCCCATGGATTCGCAGTTTGCGGCTACACGAGAAGATTTGTATCATGTTCAGATGGATATCAAGCATGTCCAAGCTGTGCAGATCAACCATGCTGACCGGCTTTCGAGGTTGGAAAAGCGCCAAGCTGATGATGCCGCGCTCAAGTCCGTCTGGGGAAATGGGTCTCCATTCCCAGGCGTTTTAAGTGGCACTCCACAACAAGGTCAATACATCCCAGGCACATCAAACAGATTCACATCACTAATATTTCATTGAGAAACAGGGCCTCTCCAACATCCCTCTGCTGACGTCTTCGATGACTTCGACGATGAACAAGGACATAACCTTCTCGGTAGTCTGCAGCTCGAAGCGGACGACGAACCAGTAAGGCGAGGTGCATCACGAGCCAACAGTGTTCGATTTGATGTTAGTGCTCTTCAAGGTTCGAACTGGACACAAAGCTCTCGGAATTCCGGAGATTTCGGTCCAGTTCGCCCAAGTAGCGGCTTTGGAAGTCATCCCATGACGGAGCGTTCGTTATCACATAAGTCTGATGGCAGGCACAGCTCTGCGGGTCACTCAGTTCATTCCATGCATTCTGTTGCTTCTGGGAGAACAAGCAGTCTTGGTCTCGACACGAATTTCATCATTGGCCCCCAGCACGAACACTCACCTGTCGACATACTTCTTCCTCCGCCTGGTCTATTCATTCTCGGCTCTGTCCCTTCCATCATACGCTGTTGGCTTACCACCAACTTCTCGCATAATGCGCTTCTTTACGGTGTGGTTTGTACAGGCTCCCAGAGGTCAGTTCTCGATTGTTCTCTTGTGAAAGAGCTAGGATTGTTGGACCAAATTCAGAAGCAGTCTACTGGTGGTTATAACATCAGACTTCCTGTCTACCTCCCGGAGGCAGTCATCACTCAACCAAACTCGAGGTCAAACAGCCCCGTCCCGCAATTACCTGCCCTCACAGCAGACTTTGAGATTGTTGGTATGACCCAACCCACCAATTCTGATCGCAAGAATAATATCCGTGTCTTCATTGGCAGTGATACTCTTCGAGCACATAGCGCAGATATTCTCTTCTCTCAGAATCTCATGACTCTATACAGCGACGACCGCAACAAGATTTCCGTTCCGTTTGTTAGACCAGAGGACGAGAACCTATTCAAGGATTTATGTACAGCAAACCTTCCACCAGAGAGGAACGAACTGAATGCAACCGCATCTCATTTCACCCCCAGTGGATCCAAATCAAAAACGGATGGAATTGATCGCACCGATAAAGTCGAGTCTTCCGATCTGGATCGGAGATCTACAGCATCAGCAGAACAGCCACTATCACTTTTCACTGCTACTGCTACTTCTGATTTGAGCAATGTCAACCGAGCTTCTGATACGAGATTCGAGGCTGCCGGACCAAATGGCATTATCTCGGACTCTGAGAGACGACATTACGAAGATATTGCTTTGCGAGGATCGGAGCTATCTGATGACACAGGCTCTGCAGATCAACCTAGACGTGAGTCTCTGGGTGTTTGGGGCTCCTGGCGCCAAGGAACGGCTGCAAACGGTAGTGAGAATGGCGAGTCCACAAGCGGATACCAACGAGCAACGAGAGGTGGAAGAAACATGAAAGTACTAAAACCCTCGAAATCCATTGCTACTGCTGGGGTGTCCAGCCGCTCATCATCTGCGGCGCGGACGGGTGCCGCTTACGAGCCAGCACCGTCACGTACGTCTGGGGAATCGAGGCGTAAGAGTCAGCCCAGCGGAATTGAGAACGCTCCATTGCGATGGGAGCCGAAGAAAAGTATTTCGGGCGATCAGAAGGGCCCAAAGTCCATCGCGACTATTCCCAGATCATCAAACCCAGTAGGAGGTGCCTCAGCCTTTGCTTGGATGAATCCAAACAAGTCAAAGGCCTCCGCGACTGCGGAGTAAATAATCGGTTCAGATAAGCTTGTGGGCAGGCCACCTCTCGTTTTGGCCATGCATTAGACTAGCTAGTCTACAATTACAGTAAAATCATTTGAAAACACAAGCTTCATTACTATCAACACGGTCTAAAGGCAGCTTGAATTAACATCTGCCCCGTATTCTCTATTCTACTCTCTATTTTCTTACTATTCAGTCTTCTTTCCTTTCTATAGGCCACCCGGTTCTAACATGGAGACATCCCTCCCTGTCCAGCTATTCCTATGGAGATATCTTAGACCGAAAATCTTCTTAGTTCTGATTTCGAAGTTCTTTTAGGAAGGGTATCAGGCCTTGCCGTACCCTCTATCATGAAGGCAAATAGACAAGAGACCGAATTTTCGAGTCTTGGCCGCTCCAGAAGGATCAGAGAAATCGCATTGGCAGACACGCGTGGTAACGGATGTTTGGGACAAAAGATTCGTTGCCAGATTATTTGAAAATGTGCAAATAGCGAAGCGATTTCAAGAAACGAGTACTAGGTAACTCGGACATGAATTTTGGACGCATATCTCATGCATGATCAACTTTCTATCTTAGAAACATACCTAGGTACTGTTGCAATTACTAGAGCTGTTTGAGCAACTTGGATCATTTAGTGGGCACATCATGGAACCGGATCCGGAGTTATTACATACCTTATGATAGGGATGCGTAAATCTTCCCATCCTCCTGCTTTCGATCATCTCCTGGGTAATTCATCACATTGTCCTCATACACCGGCATGCAACCAGCAAGCTGTATGTACATGAAGTTAGACACCAAATGTTCTTGATTGAAACCTGTTCTTCATTCTGCTACGAGGCGGGTTTCGGGGGAGGAGTGCAAGGAAATCTGTTCGAGGAACACGCCCCCCCATTTCTTGTAACCCCAGTGGTTTGATGACCTTGAGAATGGGAATTGATGGCTCTATGGGAGCTATGCTCTCGTCGCTGCTGTCACTTATTCCCTGGTAGACTGGTTGTCTTTTCTACCAATCCCTTTCCTCCCCTTGCCAGCTTTCCATCAACAATCCAGGCATATCCTGCACCAGTCTCACCCTCGTCTCTCTTCTCAATTTGAATATCAAACTCCCTACACCAACCCCGAGCCGCGTCTTCCTTTCATGGTGAACTGAGTGCAAGTAACTCGAGGATTCGAGAAGTAGGTTTAGATCACATCTCGTCAACCGCTTCTAGATCTTGTAACCCGGTAGAGCTGTTCTCTTGATCCTAGGTCCTGCAGACGGGGTAGAGGGGTTGTCAGAAACTCTGTGGTATAGACATTCAAGGAGGGGTAAGAAAATATATGAGGGGCATGTGTATTCGCTGCACGAATGAAAGTTTTTGAGTGGAGAAGGCTGTGAAACAGGGTTACCAAGGATCCTTTGTGGAAATTCCCTAGATGGCTTTCACATTTTCGATTGAAATGCGACTACATTAGAGCTCGAGTGCTGGAAATTTATGTTGTTTATTTAGACTGAAGCTGGCTGCTGGAATAGAACCAGAAGGTCTGGGGCGGGGGGTGGGGGGGGGGTTGTTCAGCCTTGCGATGAGGCTGTATTTGGCGAGATGATTTACCTTTTGTACGCAACAACTGAGTCTACAAAAACACCTCTTCCACATAAGGTAGGAGATATGCTGACATTCTATATATCTAAGTGTTTCACATAGTTCCATAAATATTTCAAACCGAAGAATCATGAAGGCTGTCTTCAGTGACTCAAGTGCACCCTTGAAACAGGACAGGTCACGTGCTATAATTGGTGACCGCTTCGCCCATCTTCGAATTTGCGACGTCAGCCTCGCGCAAGTCTTTACTTCGCCATGCGACTGAACTTCCTTCATCTTCAATTCTTGTCATGGAAACAGGAGGTCGCTCTGCGAGAAATGATCTTTTCCAGGAGGTAAGCTTGTTAATATAGTCTCTCTACTGCGTGCTAATCGTTCAACAGCTCAAACCTCGCTGTGTCGAGCTCAGCCAACTCGCGCTCCGAGATGATGGCAGCGCTACCAGTGCCAAGTCCTTGACGGAATCCACGAAAAAACTCCTGGAAACACTACAACAGAAATGTCAGCGCACCGACGGAGTGTTTGACGACAAATTGGCCGACTACGTTTTCTTCCCGCTTTCACAGATCCTCCGACGGAAACAAAAGTACACAGACAGCCTTTCCGAGTTGACTATAAAATGCCTGAGAGTTCTGCTGGAATATGGATGGAGAACCAGGATTTCTTTGGACCTTGCTAAACAACTTCTCATACTCCTCACATTTGTTGCTGGTGGTGTACCTGGTCAAAATTCCACACCTGCACCCGAGGAGCTGATGATTGAAGCATATGGTGCTTTAGCAGCCTTATTCAGAGACTTGAGTATAACACCAGGTGGAGCCACTGCATTGGTTGAGACCGGCACGATACCAGCGTTGGGGCATTGTGTGACAGTAATACTGGATGGAGTCACCGGTGGGCCATCGCCGGATACACAGCTTCAAGCATTGAGGGCGTTGGATGCTGTATGGCATTGCGTCAAGGATCCGCAAGCCCTTGCAAACTTTCTTCCAGGTACGATTTCTGGTCTGACAAAGTGTCTCATGCCAAGCACATCTACTCGGAGGTCTCGCAGAACGATTGTCAGTGCTTTGGAAGTTCTGGAGCATGTTCTCGTCTCAACATTGAGCGACTTGCGCACTCGAAATATCAAAGACAAAGATGGTGAAGATTCAAAAGCCGAGAACAAGGTCCTTACCAAGTCATGGTTGAAAGCGACTGCTGCTCAAATCAAGCTTGCACTCTCCAATGTCATCAGACTTCGTAAACACGAATCCACCGATGTTCTCAAAGCCCTCAATAAACTTTGTCTCACTCTCTTGGACGAGTGTCATGACACATTGTCCGAATCGGCTTCCATGCTGGTGGAGACATGTATGACATTAGATGGTATTGCAGCCGACGACAGCATGACCAGGAGCACTACACTTACGGATCTCGCCATGGTCCACCCCGACCTGTGCGATTTGATAAAGGGGACCATCTATAACTGGGTTACCAGCTTGCCTCGAGTAATGCAATCAAATGACGAGACGGCCAAGAATTCTGCATTGAAGCAACTATCCAAAGCACAGGAGTTGCTAGTAGGCTTAAATCTAGATTCCTCGATCTTGGAGAATACTCTAGCAAGCTCACTCCGGGATAGTATTACAGTCACCCTGGAATCATCACATGCTCCAAAGGTCTTGCAGGAGACAGATTTTGATTTGAATAGTCAGGCTGCAATGACCTTAACAACCGACAATGCTCTTTCAACCAACTTCCACCCGATCATATTGTCAGAAGAGAGTCAAAGGCAGACCCGAGATCAGCTCACCAAGTTGCTAGCGAGTGTTGGGACGAGACAGTTGCAGATAGATATGGCAGGCGAGATGCTCGAATATGCCCGTGAAGCATCCGGTCCAAGTCTTATCTCGGCATTTTGGCTCTCCTGTCAACTCGTAAGAGTCTCAGCATCCAAGAACCGGGACCTTGATGAGTTTTTCAGCTCTACACTCACACTATCCAATGAGCAAGAAGCTATGGAGCAAGAACTTTTCTCATACTCTCTCTCGATTCTTTCAGATCCCGACGAGAGGACATCTGACTGGCGTCTACAAGCTATTGCCTTAGAGGTCGTGGCCGATACTGCACAACGGCTGAAGAAAGGGTTTCGAACGGAACTCGTGGACACACTTTACCCTGTCACACAACTCCTTGGATCACCGAATGCCAGGTTAAGGGAGCATGCTATTACCTCACTCAACATAATTTCTAGGGCATGTGAATATGCCAATGCAAGCGATATGATTGTCGACAACGTTGACTATATGGTTAATGCAATTTCCTTAAGACTTAATACTTTTGATATATCGCCACAAGCTCCTCAAGTCTTAGTAATGATGATCCGACTCACAGGACCATCTTTATTACTTTACCTAGATGATGTGGTGGGGTCGATATTCGCTGCGTTAGATAACTTCCACGGTTATCAACGCCTTGTCGATATATTATTCTCCGTCCTAGGAGAAATTGTGACCGTAGGCTCGAAATCGGGCCAACTTCAAATAGAAGGTGGACCTGATATTGATCATCGGAAAACCGGAACACAAATCCCCACCATCCAAGAGATCGTCGAGATGATCAAGAAGAAGTCGAAGATCGAAGAGGAACCTCTTCCTCATGAAGATTTCCCCAGAAAGCCTTGGAAGGATGCAAAGACGCTGCTCGATGAAGCAGATGCTTCGAAAGAGGGCGAAGAACAGGAACAAGAAGAGGAGACAGGAGAAGTCCAAAAAGCTCCACCAACGAAAGTCTACTCCATGGTCCAGAGCATCGCACGTCTCGGCCAACACTACCTGACGAACCAATCGCCCGTCCTACGGGCGAGATTACTCGGTCTCGTCAGTACAGCCTGTAGAGCGCTGCACAACAACGAAGACGAGTTCCTGCCTCTCGTCAACGACATCTGGCCCGTTGTGATCAAGCGCCTCTACGACGAGGAACCGTTCGTGGAGATTGCCGCTGCAGACGCAGTGGCGGAGATCTGCCGATGCGCAGGCGATTTCATGGCCACTAGGATCCAGACTGAATGGCCGGATTTGATGAAGAAGACGCGGCAAGCCCGAGCGAAGGTGTTGGCTGAGAGAAAGGGATCAGGGGGCCGAGGCATATTCTCGCAGGTCAACCAGGTTTGGGAGAGCTTGGTGAGGCTTATGATCGCGATCGCTGAGTATGTCCGGATGGATGACGAGATGTTCGATGACGCTGTGGAGCTTCTTGCAGATCTAATACCGACTCGCGAGGATGTTCGTGATGCTCTCTCAGTGGTGAATGGAGATACAGTGTGGTTAGCCATGCAGATGGCTGGGAAGAACGAAGAAGTTGAGAGGCCTGTGTTAGCTGGATATAAATTCTCGGCATTAGACATATTAGTAGCAAAATGATGGCAAATTCACAAGTAAATATCGAGGAGCAATAGTGATATGTTGTTGAATGAGGGGAATGCTTTTATTTGCTATTACTAGGAGCGCTTTTGGAGTAACCAAAGAACGAGTGGGCAACAAGGATACAACGAACAGTTCTAGGGACTATTCCCAATCTAGCAGACCAGTTCAAAACAGAAATTGCAAGCCTGCCAAAGTCCAAGAGACTGAGCAGTCCACGACCGGGACGTGCTAAAAAACCCTTTCAATGAATTGCTAGCCATAAAGCTAGCACCATCCAAGACAGACAGGTTATTCGGAGTCCTCGTCATCGCTCTCGGCCTCGGCGAGCCAGGTGAGGAAGGCCTCGGCAGACTTGCGCACCTTCTTGCTGGTTGGGAGATCGATGTATTTCTTGCTGGCTTTGGTGCCCCATTTAGTGAGCATCTCTTCACTGACGATATCCTCATTGTAGAGAACCATGAGGATCTTAGACGTCAGATTATAGATCTCTGGGTTCTCTTTGCCTCGGATCCCAATGAAGCGTTCCACTCCTCCGAGAAGAGCCTTCTCATGTTTCTCGGAGCTAACCATCTATATGATGTTAGTAAATATTCCTGTATATAATAGATTGAACAACTCACGTTCTTAAGCATTCCAGCACGCTTAGGGATCTGCTTGACGATATCATCGTCGAAGATGGTCTGGACCAGGACCAGGAGAGTACGGTGCTTGGCTTCAATACCAAGCTCCTTGGCCTTGAGATAGATAGCAACGTCGTCAACGTTATTGACGCCGCCCTTTTCTTCAGCCTCGCTGAGGATCCAGCTTCCTAGTTGGTCGTAACTGGAGTTTCCCCCACCTTCGCCTTCTTCTTCATCGTCGTCGCCACCAAGGACAAGCTTCTGCTTGAGGTCGTCGGGAAGTTGTTGCTGGCGAGCTCTGACGGCTTCCGCTGACATGTCAACCGTCCATTCATCATCTTTGACCTCAACTGGTGTTGCATCAATCTCTTGAGCCTCAGCCTTGATACGGCGAGTCATTTCATCATCGCTGCCAGCTTCAATACCAACGTCGCCATTGCCGTTGGAGCCATTCTCGGAGTTACTCTCACCACCACTGGCATGACCATTTTCTTTGCTGTCACCGTTGCGGTTCTCTCTGGCTTTGCGTGCGGCTTTCTTCTCAGCTTTGTCTTTCTTGCCCTTCTTTGGCTGGTTCTTGAGGATGAAACCGCTGAGCTTCAAGCGAAGATCTACATCGGACCGCTGACCACAAGCCTTGCAGTCCAGCAAGATACGGCCGTCCTTAATGACCACATCGGTTTCGGGATTCTTGCATTTCTTGCAGAGAACGAACTTGTTGATGAAGCCATCAAGATAATCTTGGAGTTTAGAAGCCTCATGTGCACCGTTGATAATCCATCGATCATCGGCAGGGTTGGTATTGGTCTGGGCTCCTAGTTCAAAGCCAAAGTACTTGATAACGTAGGCTCCAGGGCGCGCGAGAGATTGAGCGACGCTGCTGAGATTGACGATGACTGTCTTGATGCCGTTACCCTTGCCCTCGATCTTCGACTGGAGTTTCTCCATCTTGTATCGGTAGAAGGGGTCCTTGACATCGCTGCGGATATTGATGGTAACCATGGCTGCGGCTTTCTTGAGATGACGTGAATGCGTTGAGTTCTATGTAGTTTAGGGCTCGATAATGACCGTTAGGCGACGGGGCGATGCGACATGGAACATGCAGAAGCGGAGGGGGCGAGCGAAACAGTGAAGGAGATAGAGTGTCGATGACAGTGATTTCTTTTTCTAACGAAACATTCGAAGATCGGTGGATTAGCCGTTGGAAGAGAAATAGGAGCTACAAGGTTTCCGCGGTATGCGAAGTCGTTGCAGCTCGAGAGGCGGCTGGTGTCTGAGGTCGTTGGCGTTGGGTGTGAGATACATATAACGCAGATGTATCAGTTGACTGCTGATGGTTTGGTTGATGGTGTTTTTTCGTGGAAGATGGGACTCCCTTTGCTTTTGCGAGGAGGAGCGCGTTCTTCGAAACTGACACTATTCACTGGGGAGGCCAAGCGGGGGGGTGTCGAGAACAGCGCGTTGTGTGTGAGATTGGGTGATCAGGTCTGGTAGAGCAGAACTGACGATAGTGTCTGGGTTGGTTTGGAGGAGGATGGAGACTGTTGTCTTGTTCTGACGGTTTTGTAAAGTGAGTTGTGAAGTGGAGGAGGGTACGTGTAAAAAGAAAGACCAGAAAATTGTTACAGTAGCGCAGCTCGGTAATTACCTCTAGTCTAAAAAAGTGTACCTTAAATTAGCACATGTACCGTTTGCGATATTTCCAGTATATTCTTCGGCTATTTACACGCCGATTATACAGTAAAGGCTCCGTAATTACTGGCGGCCGCGCTAATTATATCAACCCCTCTTTCATATCGGATCCCCTCCTTTTAGCGATCATTTCTGCTCCCGGCGACTTCAAGAACGTTTGTGGTGATTCAGGAACCGTCTTTGAGAAGAACTGTGTGCTGCATTCCACATCGCATGAACCACAATCGTTTAAACGCTTAACATCTTGTTTGCGCCCCGAATCCGGTTTGCTAAGGCGGGGAAGGACCAAGAGAATACACGTGATTATTCATCAGGGTCGCTCCAGACCGTGGAAGCTTGAAGCAATTGTCAATCAAGCACACCGGTGGTTCGCAATGGGTCCCGGGGATGTTGACTACTCCCTTTATCTGGTTACCGATTCTACCTCTGCAATCCTCGGTGACAGAGATCTTGTTGAGGTCGTCGAGGCTGCATTGAATGGCGGGGTCACCATTTGCCAATATAGAGACAAAGTCAGCGATACAGTAAGGGACTTTTCTTCTTTCGTCTCCCGCTCTTGGAATGTGTTATGCAATATCTTTGTCTCTCTCCGGTTCTTAGAGTGACATCTTCCCCTCAGCATCCTCCTGGGACCAGCTGAAAAGACAAAAACTGATGAGAGCCTTTTCAGGCTACGCTGGTGTCCACTGCTCGAAAGTTGCACGCTGTGACGCAGAGATACAACATTCCGCTTCTCATCAACGATCGCATCGATGTTGCCTTGGCGATTGGCTGCGAGGGTGTACATATTGGTCAAGATGATCTGGGTATGTTCATGTTACTGAATATCTTTCCACCGTTTCCTAACTTGAACGAGACTTGAAAACTGCCAGGAAATTACTCGGCAAAGATGCAATCATCGGTGTAACGGTTTCCACGGTTGAAGAGGCACAGAAAGCCTGTAGGGACGGGGCTGATTATCTTGGTATTGGGACCATGTTTGCAACTCCGACGTACGTATTATTCAATTCCTTAATGCGAAGAAGCCCATGTAATTAACGTCAAATAGGAAAACCAACACCAAGTCTGTAATTGGAACATCAGGCACGCAGCAAATACTTCAAGCCATAGCGGATGAAGGCAAAAATGTACGAACGGTGTCAATCGGAGGAATCAACTCCGAAACAGTTCAACGTGTCTTATATCAATCAGCACATCCGACCAAACAACTGGACGGGGTTGCAATTGTGAGTGCTATCATGGCTGCAAAGGATCCTAAAAAGGCCGCTGAGAAGCTTCTCAGTCTCGTCAAGACCCCCCCGCCATTTGCCGCAGCATCATTGGCAAACACAAAGAAGAAACAAGACGCAGGTGATCTCATTGACCAGGTACCTATGATCATCAAGGCAGTTGGCGAGAAGACACCACTCTCGCATAACATGACAAACATGGTTGTTCAGAACTTTGCAGCAAATGTTGCATTGGCCGTGGGTGGCTCTCCCATAATGGCAAATCATGGTGAGGAGGCGACAGATCTCTGCAAATTTGGAGGTAGCCTGGTCATCAACATAGGAGGAGTAACACCAGAAGGGCTACAGAACTATTCACGAGCATTACGGGCTTACAACTTGGAAGGGGGGCCAGTTGTACTCGATCCTGTCGGTGCTGGTGCTACTGCCCTACGAAGATCCGCAGTTAAAACCTTATTGGCTGGAGGCTACTTTGATGTTATCAAAGGTAATGAAGGCGAGATCAAAACTGTTTTCGGATCAACCGCTCAACAACGAGGGGTTGACAGTGGCCCAAGCACCCTGGACGATGCCGAGAAGGCAGCGTTGGTTCGAGATCTGGCAGCAAGAGAGCGGAACGTCATCGTCATGACGGGTGCAACCGATTTCTTGAGTGACGGATCTCGCACCTTTGCTATCTCGAACGGGCACGAGCTGCTAGGAAGAATTACAGGCAGTGGATGTGTTTTGGGAACCACGATATCCTTGATGCTTGCTGTCAGTCGTGAGGACAAGCTCCTTAGTACTCTGGCAGGGTTGCTTCACTATGAGATTGCGGCAGAAATTGCGGCAGCTCGTGAAGACGTCAAGGGACCCGGGACCTTTGTACCGGCCCTGATCGACGAACTGTACAATATACAAAAGGCGACAACAGCTGGTGACCTTAGATGGCTGGAGAAGGCAAAAGTCAAGGCTGTTCGCGTTAAATAAGTTCAATTGCCATTTTCTCTGGATACCAGGAAATGGAAACGATGTTGGCTGCGAAATGCGACAAGTGTTCGCATATATCAATACCAAGGATCGTTGCCTCGCTGATATGGAAGAACTACTCTTCTTCTTTGACTCCATGGGAGTCGACAGCAAGAGAAGCCTCTAGCAAATTGAACAATCCCGCTTTTCCCAAGGTTTACTGCTCCTTGATTGTTGAATGCAAGAGACATCGCGGAAATTGGAAGTATTGAGATCATCGATGCTTGGAGGGCCCATACTCAACTCATGTCTCAATCGCTGAAAGTAATTCAGTGATCGGTACATTGTAGCGAAAGCCCAATAATATTGGGTCCTTCACGAGTCCACAGTGCTCATACTCCCGGCGGTTCCGCCGCGGGACCAGCAGTGCTCCGGGGCCGGTATGTCACGTGATCCGCACGTCCCAGCGGAAGCCCCCCAAGGAAAGAAAAGGCAAAAGGGAAAAAGAGTTTTTTTTCCGTTGACCCAGTGATGACAATGATTTCGTGTTCGCCCCGTAACACAAAGGAATCCTCCGTAGGATAATTTGTCTTTATTTTGCACTCTTGTCAAATTTCCAGAGCTTCCGCGTCCTTTTATTTCATTTTTTTTTTTTTAATATTTTTTTTTAAAATTAACTATTATTCAATGCGGCCCCACGCGCAAATTTGTGAGCTGCGGATGTAATCGGGCTTCCAGGATCATGGATTGATAGCCAGAGAGTGGAGAAGTCACTACGGCATTCCGGGCCTGGTCGGAAACACGACGGGACAGTTGGCAAGTTGACAGAAAACCTCCGCCGCAGGGAAAAGGAGAAGAATGTGAAAATTTGACATGCAGCCGCACTGAGGCTCACATTACTCAAGTTGTCTGGCTGTGGAATTGGGGATCACGGACTATGATGTATCTGGAGAAGGCGACTGCAGCAATCAGCCAATGATCAATCCTCCCGCAACGCGGTCAGGAACGGGATTTCGTCATTGTCCCGTTGCTACAGTCTACCGTAGCAAATTTCCAATTTTCATCTTCCCTCGAGTCTTTGATGTTATTATACGACCCCTAATATGCCTACCGAGATGTGCTTGTTGACGGTTGTGCAGTGTGCACACACAAGATATGCGTGGTGTCGTCGTCGAGATAAGGATGCTCGGGGGTGATGTATTGAGCAGGGATGCTATCGGTACGCCGGACGGAGAACACCCACCATGGACAGGGGCTGGATGAAAACCCAGAGATTTTAGAAAAAGGAAAGCAAAGCAAACAACCTCAAGCAAGAGAGCCAGAAAACATCATAAAACCTCCAGAAAAAAAAAGGAAAGACATATACGATGATACGGAGCACTCGGTAACGGTACCTCTGTGCGGTGTCCCTCCGTCGTAAGGGGTGAGCCAGCACGGCGCGATGCAATTCCCGCGTTCGCCCGATGCTGCTACGAATAGCCAAGTACGGAGAAGCTCCTACACTATAACAGACGCCAAGTGGAAATAATAGTGGGAATAGTGGGAACCAGGAGGCACCGCGCAGCACCGACCCGTTATTTCTGAACCCACCGCGCCCTCTGCCCGGCCAATGGTTGGCTGCAGCGGCCGGCGTCTTCAATTGAGAGTCTGAGCTATCCTTCAGGAGGCCCAGCTGTTCGAGATGTCATCCAACCACAACCGCGACAGCTCCCCCCAACTCGCTCACGGAGGGGCTGCTAGACACCTGCTAGGAGCATGACTACGGTGCAGTTGCTGTAGCATCATGCCTCTTCTGGGCTGCTCAACCAAGGTAGTCCCAAGGTAGGCCTGGCACGGCCCCAGCCTCCACGTTGGAAAAAGTCTCGCATCCTACATCCCGAGGTCTGAAGGAGCAACCGGAATCTTCGCCCCCCCTTTGCTGCCAATGCCTGCGCCCTCTGCCTCTGGTTAGGACGGACTCTGTTACCCGGGCTGCCGCCTCTCCGTACTTAGTTAAACGAAACAGAAAACTCTTCCTCCCAACCTGAGCTCTCTCTCCCTCCTTCTCTCCTTCCATTTGCTCAGCTACTCTCCCACACAGCCCTGAAAATCTCTACTCCACCTCGAGGTCTTCGTCTCACTCTCACTCTCACACCTTCACACTCCTCCTCCTCCCTCCGCCCCACTATCACCACAACACAATGGCTGCTTCCGCACGCATGATTGCCCCCAAGATGGCCTCCATGATGGCCTCTACCACCGTCAAGGCCGCCCGCCCCATGGTCCGCGCCAACGTTCAGACTCAGGTCTCTCAACGTGCCTTCTCCGGTAAGCAATGGCCCGTTCCGCCGTCCCGTACGACACTGGACACTCGAGAGAAACTTTTGCAGAGCAAGCTGTGTACGTCAGAGACAATTGCAGATGCTAATTGAGCTCCGACAACAGGTGTCCGCGCCAACGCCTTCCAGACCATCAAGCGTCAGCAAGCCTCCAGCATCCTCAATGCCACCACCCGCAGCGTCATGGGCCGCCAGACTGTCCGCCCATACTCCTCTGAGATCGCCAACGCCATGGTCCAAGTCTCCCAGAACCTGGGTATGGGTTCCGCCGCCATCGGATTGGGAGGTGCTGGTATCGGTATCGGTATGGTCTTCGCCTCTCTCTTGACCGCCGTCGCTCGCAACCCCAGCATGCGTGCTCAACTTTTCTCTTACGCCATTTTGGGTTTCGCCTTCGTTGAGGCCATCGGTCTGTTCGACCTCATGGTTTCCATGATGTGCAAGTACGTGTAAATTAGCTAGTGGTTGGCCGCCTCGCTGTCGGTGTGTGTGTTGCATAGCAAGGAGTCGGAAAAGCAGAAGGGGTCGATCGAGTACAGAGAGTATAGGCAGACGGATAGACCGGTTGGGCTGTATTATATTATCTTGTATCGATCCGACACTACTCTCTAAAAAACCTTATATTCATCATCATACCTTTACGTGCATGCCCACGCATGAAATGCTCCCATCTTATTCTGCTATCGTGGAGTGATATGATGCTGTGTGTACCTACCTACGGCACGTACCTCCACCTAGCTGTCGCAGTCACGTGATTGAAAAGAAATTGCTTCTACAGAGTACTCACTCAATTGGAAGGGTTAAAGAAGGACGGAATAAGCACAATCCGTCATTCTAATATCTCTCTGTCCGTCTACAGCTTCGATCCTGACATTGGCTTTCGAGAGCTAATTGCGGCAGAGTCGGAGGTACCTAGGTAAGACAGGGCAAGCAGACTGGTAAGTCCCTTGCTCCCCCGGACTACTTGGAAGAACGCCCACAATGGATTAGCTCTTCACGGTATGTGTTCGACTTAGATGAGCTTATAAGAAGGTGCCGATTGGGTCCTGACAGCGGGCAAGACAGCAAGACTCTCTACTTTGGTGTCAAGCAAAGACCTACGAGAGCCGTTCTCAAAGACCGAGTACTCATTCAATTCCTATCTGTCAATTCTCCCACCACGACTCACTCAATTGGGTTGCTCAACTGGGCCATTGAAGCTTCTATATGTTCATTCCCAACAACTGGATGTCCAGGTGAGTTCGGATCCATCCAGCAGCTGTCTGCCCGCTCACAGGGCTTTTGTCATGTGACTTCGACCTCCCTCCTGGATCTTATACCATCACTAGACCCCTTTTTCGAGCAATGGGCCTAACCTTAGAGGTTGAGACACCGCAAGCTTGAAAATAAGCAATCCTCTGGGGTGCAGCCATACTTGTTCTGTAGCAGCTTTTCCTGAGCTGCTCGCACGGACCACCTCTGGCAAAATGTGAATCCGGGGTAAGAAGACAATGACGTCGATCATCTCGATGACCTCTAGATTTCCAAAAGACAGGTAGGTAGGTGTTTTATAACTTTATCAACTTAATTTAACTTGCTTTACTTCTCATCTCTTTCTCTTGTAGTCCTGCAACAAGGTTGATATCGATATTGCTTTTGTTCATGATACCCATGAGATCCAGAAGCACGTTGTTGGCCTTCGATGATTCTATGACCCTTCTTGGTCCCCGCACTTGAATATACAAGATGGCAAACATCTCCACCAGCCAGTTGGTATCTACCGCCATTTCTTCCTGGTGACCAGCGTATTGCTAAGGATCAAAATCTAGGATGCTTACTCCCTCTACCACAAGACGCAAGAGAAGTCTTCATCCGCCCTCAACGGGCCTGCGTTACCCGCTCTAGGCCACGCGATTGCAGGCTCAACAGGAACCGCGATCTCGAACCTCGCCGTCTATCCTCTCGACCTGATCATAACGCGCCTCCAGGTACAACGACAGCTGCGAAAGTCCTCTGCGACTCCCGACGGAGGCGAATACCGAGGCGTTCTTGATGCTTTCGAACAGATATACAAGAATGAAGGGGGCATAGCTGCTTTCTACAGCGGGGTGCTCCAGGATACCGGGAAGTCCATCGCGGATTCCTTCTTGTTTTTCTTGTTCTATAATTATCTACGCACACAAAGGCTGCGGAAACATGGGGAGAGAGCAAGAACTCTACCGGTCCTCGATGAGTTGGGAGTAGGAGCGCTGGCGGGAGCCTGCTCGAAGTTCTTCACTACTCCAATTGCAAATATTGTTACACGAAAGCAGATAGCAGCGATGGTGAGCTCACGTTCTGGAAGCAAATCCTCCGAGCCCTCAGCCGCAGCCATTGCCTCCAGCATTCGATCCGAAAAAGGAATCCAGGGGTTTTGGGCGGGGTATTCGGCGTCGTTGGTTCTGACCCTGAATCCAAGCCTTACCTTTTTCCTATACGAGTTCTTCAAGAAGTCCTTCCTGCCGAGATCAAGACGCGATGATCCGGGAGCTAAGCTTACGTTCTTGATGGCAGCGATCAGCAAAGCCATCGCTTCTACCATCACCTACCCCTTCTCCCTCGCCAAAGCGCGGGCCCAGACCTCCTCACGACGCAGCGCATCTGCTGCCAAAACTGCAGCAGCCGACCTCTCAGACCTAGCAGAGGAAGGCAACATTGAGAAAGCCGGTCAAGACGCCGAAGGGATTGCCAGGCGCTCTACGGTTTTTAGCACGATCCTCACTATCTACCGGGCGGAGGGTTTCACCGCGCTGTACGAAGGTATCGCCGGCGAGATCCTTAAGGGCTTTTTTAGCCATGGGATCACGATGATCGTCAAGGAGACGATCCACAAGTTGATCATCCAGACGTATTACCTGCTGCTGCGCGCCCTCAACCGGTACCCGCCTCCCTCAGAACTAGCCGCGCAGGCGGGCGAGGCAATCCAAGATGGGGCGGGGAAGGTGGGCGGTTTTCTCAGGGAGGGGTATGGGAACGTGGCGGAGAAAATGGGGGATCTGGTACAGGAGGGGAGGGAGGCAGTGGGCAATGCGGGGGAGAAGGTAAGTGAGGTGACGAGTAATATATCGGATGCTACTGGAAGAAAAGTCGATTCTGCGCGTAGGGAGGCCGGTCAGCTGCAAGAGAATGTGCAAGATAAACTAGGTAAGAAGACCGGGGACTTGGGGAAAGACATCAAGTCGGAGAAATAGGGGAGGGGTCTATGTACCAACATGTATTATAACACTACTACCTATGGTGGCATCGGAGTTGATTATCCTCAGACATTCTTTATGCGGTCTACTGAACCAACTTCTATGGCTCAAATGAAACAGGTCAGCGAACTAGGCAGAGATTCCCACACCTTGTTGATGCTCAGAATTGGCGGGTCACGGAGGTCTTGAAAGGGTTTCCAGAACGGTCAAAGTCCCTCAATAAATCTTCTATAACCTATACCGATTAATTACCCTGATTCTTGCTGCCCCAGACGCCACACAATTGCTCTCTCCAACTAACTAACACTGGAATGCGACGCCCAATTTTTCGACCTTGTTTGTGCCTCCCCCCGCAAAGCCCGTGCCGTCACACCTAATCTCTACCAAGCCCGGCTTAACCTTCTCCTTTTCCTTCCCCTCTTTCGCGGCGGCGGCATCCTTATCCTTCTTCGGTTTCCGGTCCGTCAGGTCCGCATCGCAGACGTAGCACGTGACGGCATTCTGATCTACCTCTGGAGCGTGGGGATCATGCACGCCGGACGGGGTCATGAATTTCGTGACGCAGCTCTTGCAGAGGACGTGCCCGCAGGGCTTGGCTAGCATAGCTTTGGAGGTGTTGCTGAGGACTTTTTTGCAGGAGGGACAGATGCGCTGGCGCGTTTTGGTCGTTGCGTCTTCTTCTTCTTCGGTGAAGACCACGTTGATTAGGGTATGTAGTGAGTAAGGATGAGGGTTGTCGTCTGGGGAGGCGGGGCAGATGGGGGATTGCTTGGCTTTTTTGGAGATGGTGTGTAAGGGCGCGTTCGTGTTGGAGGAAGGCGTGATGGAGGGGATCCAGAAGGAAGGGAGGGTCGTTTTGGAAGCCTGTGATGTGGTTAATATAGGATACATGCGAGCGAGACGGTAACGGGCGTACCTTTTCTTCGTCAATGGCTTTCCGGGCTTTTGTTCTCTCCTCCCGGGCAATGCGAAGAAGCTCATCCTCATCCAGCTCGAACTTCCTCTTCTCTCCTCTCTTGCTCCCAGTAACATCTTCTTCTACTAAGATTTTCCCATCCTCTCTCCCTACGATCTTTTTCCCAGCGCCTCCGACTTTAGCCTCCAACCCCATCTGAATCCTCTCAAACTCCTGCACAGCTCTCTCTCTCGCTTCATCCTCCTCGCGGATCCTATCTTCCTCCGCCTCCTTTTCTTCTCTCTCCCTAGCCTTCTCCAACCTCTTGATCTCTTTCTTCTGCGCTAGGATATTGCTCAACGCACACTCGCGACAGAAGATATCACCGTGGGAGCAGGACACGGGGTCACGTGCCGGGATGAGACATAGCCTACAAGAAGCAAAGGGCAGGAAGGAGTCTCGGGAGAGACGCGCGCTGGTAGAGTTCCAGGCAGCCTTTGCGAGCGAGCGTTCGTAGGACGTGAACACCGCGCGTGAGGTGTTTCGTTTGCCTGGGAAGAGATTAGGATGTCTGAATGGCAGGGTAGTAGGGGGTAGGGATATGTTACTGTGAGACATGTCGGCGGCTGGGCAGATAGATGACAGAGCTTGAATGAAAACAGTGTTCAGATGAGGTCAAAGGAAGAGGGTGATTTCCTGAGATTTTCTTGGCTAAGCAGTGTTAGCGTGTAGTCGAAGAGGTAAAGAAAGATATGAACCTGTTGTTGAGGCAAGAAAATAATGTTGGAGGGTTTAAGGGAGCCGAGAGCTTGTGGAGAGGCGAACCGCTCATAGCATAGGTAAACACTCACCTCTCTGATGAAGTCGCACGTGCGAAAGGCAAAGGGGAAAGATCTACCTGGAGTCAGAGTGGCGCGTCTAAGAATAAAAGTTGGTGAAAGGGGCCTGGAGATTGTTAGAAGGAGTTCTTGAGAACCATGGGCTAAGGAAAGGTTGATAGTACTTGTCCCTACGGAGTATTCTACCGTATATCTCTTGAGACCGGATTAGTATTCCCAGTTGATTGGCCAAAGAAAATGTAATGTGGCTGTTTGTGTTTCCTTGAGGAGATCGTGAAGGATAGCAGTGCTAGACCTGGTGGAAGTCAAGCATGGATGATATGTCGCCCAAAATCCACCTATTCTAGGTACCTATATAAAAGGCATATAAAATATATACAGTACTTTGCTATATACCGTATTCGAGGTACCTCGGTAACCTCCACTGGTAACCTGAGAATGTACCTGGATCTGCATATGTAAAATATTTATAAGATCGGATAAAAGTAAAAGCTGCGCCGACGCTGCTCATCTCGAAACAACACATTTTTATCATGGCTCTGTCCTCTTCTCTTTGCATTCTTTTGCCATTATCTGGGGCATTCCAGCCTTCACTCCCATCTGAGGTTCATGGCTTCTCTGTTAAACTCTAATTTCTTGCGCGACATACGATAATGCGCGACGGCGCCATGTCTACCTCGAACCCTCCACCAGAACGTCCTAGCCTTCCATGGCGATTCTCCTCCGCCCTGATTATGGGTCTGACAGGCTCGCTGTCGCAAGCTTTCCTGTACGGTCTCAACTACATGGAGGTCATAGGCCTCGACCGGTTCCTGGAGACATTGGAAAAAAGGAAGGATGTTGAGGGCAGGGAGAGAGGTCTCATAACTGGTACGGGGAATGGTTGATGTTTAATTGATCGGATGATTGCTGATTGGCTTTGCCAAATAGTATCGAATCATGTCAGCGTGTACGTTATGCGTTCCCCCGTATCGTTTGGCGCCTGAGATATTGATTGCGCCGTATTGCAGAATGGATGATCCTCTGATGTGGGGTGTCCTTCCTCTGAGCTACGCGTTCAGCCCCTCGAATCTTAGATGGAGTTTGGGTAGCTACGACATATGTTTTCAGAATAAGTATGCAGCCCATTCTGATAACCATGCGCCGTGCTGATAGAGCTTCCCCAGAGCCCTTTCCTTGTTCTTTACTCTGGGCCAAGTCCTTCCGACACACAGAGGCGCCTACTCACCCATCCACGGGGGGCTCTTCCAACCAACAATTAGCCAGGCTATCCGCCTGCTCTCCTCTCAGCCCTTTTCCAAGACCCCAGAGCCAGAGCCGACTCCTCACCCATCTATGTCCCCTCGATCACCCGACATAATCGACCCCTTCTCCGCCAACGCCTTAACCTACACCACAAACGGGATTGATGTCTTTCCCGCGCCCTCCGCCTACCTCTCGCGCAGACACAGTTGGGTCCACATCTTCCCAGAAGGGCGCGTCCACCAACACCCCGCCAAATCGCTGCGCTATTTCAAATGGGGTGTCTCACGGCTGATTCTCGAATCCGAACCCCTCCCTGAAATCGTACCCATATTCATAGACGGACATCAAGACCTGATGCACGAGGACAGGGGATGGCCCAGATTTATTCCTCGGACAGGGAAGAAGATTCGCATTGCGTTTGGCGAGAAGGTCGACGGGGAGAAGATATTCGGGGATTTGAGGGAGAGGTGGAAACGGTTGGTTCGCTTGCAGCAAGAGGCGTTGATAAAGAGGGGCGAGACCGCAGAGTGGGAGATGGGCGAGTTGACGGACGGCTTGAAGTATGGGAGTGAAGCCGTGGCGCTGAGGAAGGAAGTCACGAATCGGGTCAGGCAGGAGGTGTTGAGAGTCCGGAGGAGCTTGGGATATTCGGACGAGGATCCAAAGCAGGGCTTGGTTGAGACTTGGATCGAGGAGGGATCGAACAAGACGGGGAAAATGAAGGATGGAAGCTGGGTGGGAAATACCTGAGTAGAGCTCATCTTTCCCTGTTATGTATTACTCTAGAGCGTGTACTTGATAGAAAGGGATTTTATGACCATGATGCTGGTGTTTCCATTTTCTAGACTATTGACGAGAATGGTTACCAAGAGGTAGAAACTAGGTATGTGTGTTTGGGTTTGGGGTGGGGCGGGGGGGTTTGTGATAAAAGTACGAACTTTACCAAACAGGACAAAGCAACCTGGAACGAACACTCGCATCTATCAACTATTAAGCCTCTCCCTCCCCCTTGTCGGGCCCTAACTAATCTCGAGATGAAACTGTATCAACCTCCGAGTATAATTGTATTTCTTGGCAAACGTTTAAGAAGATATACTTTAGGTTGAGAGCTGATAGTACCCAATAAAAAGTCGTAGTATACATACAGTATACAGTGGTCATTAATCCCCTCCCAATACATATTTCCCATACTCAGATGCACCTGTTTGTATGTCCCATATCCCATATCCTAGATCCCTAACACCCACGCTATGCAAATCAAAAAGCCCATACGTGATTCTCACAACCAAGCAAAGTTCCCCAGAGCAATGACGGTCATCGCCACCATCACTGTTTTGGCCCAATTGACAAACCCTTTCCCCCTCACCCCGTCACTCGAACTCGAACTGCTAGTCAGCTCTGCCGTACTGACGTTCGTTCTACCGGTCGCTACAATTCCGTTCAGATTATCTGCGGTCTCGATACTCGGTCCCACATTCCAAAAGTCCACCAACATAAACGTAGGCCTGACTCCCCACTCGTTCTCACACTGCGCCGCGTGCGTTCCCAATGCGCCGGTTGTATTTGTCGAAGGAGAATTGGTTGTGGTGATATTATCTATGTCAGGAATCGTTATTCCGAAGCTCTCTGCAGTGTCAGCGAAATGGTTCACGAGGCCCATGTATCCCGCTGAGATCGCGGATGTGGCGGAGGATTGGGTGGAGGGCCGCTGGAGGGTACAGTTGAAACCTGAAAAGGAGGTGACAGTGAAGGTGGTCTCAAAGACGTAGTCGAATTCGTGGAGGAGATATGGATATGTGCTATCATAGGTTATGCTCGCAATGAAGGTGACAAGGCGGGTATTGGCTGTAATGAGCGTCTGAAGGGACGGCCAGTTAGATATAGGGCCCGACGTCGATGTGGGTGTATAACCATATTTCGAGATACCGGAGGAGGTAAAGGCAGATCCGAAGCTAGCAGCAGGTTCGTTATCACTATTTACCAGGAGAATTGTGACCACTTCGTTGGGGTTGGCGTCCATCCAAGACTTTACGTCGGAGAGGAATGTCTCGAGAGACCCGCCATCCAACAGGCTGCAATCCGTATGACATAACTCGAGGGTGCCGTTCTGGTTGTGCACTTGGGCTTGTAATAATCTAATGCCGGCGGAGAGTGCTGTTGTAGCATTGTAAAATTGGTTGCCGGACACAGAGAAGCCTGTGCTCTTATCTCGAAGAAAAGCGGAGTCGTGAGCCCCCATGTGGGTTATGTTGTTGTAGTTCCGGTTGCAGAGTAATGGTGAATTGTTGCAGGCAATCGTGCTTGTTGAGTCTGCTGTTTGAGAAATGGATGCTTCCGAGGATGTTGCACCGATGGCGGTGGTTGTAGCCGTAGACAGCTGCCTTCCTTCAAACCCAGGTTGAGGTATGGCTCGTGATAGGGTCGAGAGCGAGAGAAATGCTGCCGAAGCAGCCAGAAACGAAGGCAACATTATGTATTGTGCTGGAGTAGAAGTTCAGGACACAGCTTCGTCCGAGAGAATAGATGAGAGAGTCAAACGAGAGCAAAAGACGGCACGCAGGATTATAAGATTTATAAGATTGAACAATAAAAATAACAAAAGAAAAGGAAAGAAAAAATGGGGCTGGAAAAGATGGAGAAGTTTCACGTCACGGAAACTGAAAGAGATCCGTTTGATACTCGGTAGACTGCGCCTCGAATGTGATGGACTCGTCGGCTTTTCCCCAGACTCGTCGTCAGCTACTTACTTTCCGTACGGGAACGGTATGAGAATAGTGGGTCGAGGGTGTAGCCACAGCCATTCGTCAGGGAGCAAAAGAAAGATTCCATGATTCCATGATTCCATGATTGGAGGCGCCAAACAGTGGCATATGTTTGGTTGCTTGGCATCAGACATCAAGAGGTTCCAGCCCAGGTCCGGGAACTGGAGGCTGAGGTGAAGAGAGGATGGTGATGGTGTTGATGAGGTTCACGTTCCCCAGTCTTCGAATCTAAATATGGAACATTTCCTGCTAGAAGTTGGCGTGGATTTATCATCTTTATATACGTGCAGGTGTGTTATCAGAACCGTTCAGGGTGTGCATACAGTCAACACCAACGCCCCGCCATGATCCATCGCACAGCTCGCTCGTCACTCAACACCCTTCGAGGATCCGTATATCCATACAAAGACATATCCTTGCACTCACACCCTGTAAAAGCTTGCAAGATGGATTACTCTAAATTGCCAACCCCGTCGCACTGCACTGCCGATTTCTGCCTCATTCCCGTACGCACCTCCCCCCCGCAGCCCCCATACTTGTCTGCCCTTGTTGCCCCTGTTGCCCAACTCTATCCATCTACCATTACTTGCTATTGTTTTAACCTCTTTCTAACAGAGTCTGATAGATGGGCACCGCTACTGCTTCGGTCTCCAATGAAGTAGCTGCTGTTCAACGCCTCATGAAGGCAAGTGGGTTGAGCTACACGATGCATTCTGCCGGCACCACTGTTGGTAAGGCGATCTTTCTATCCTCTAAAATCCCCCCTCCCCCCCTTTTGAAATCCATCTTGTCTATATACCCTCCCAGTAAGGAGTGCGTCATTATTTGAAGTCTTTTTGGAAACCATCTGAAAATCCCATCGTCCTCCTCTCGGGCACGATTTCTCCTCTCAAGTCTGAAAATTGTGGTCTCATCTGACACGAATTACAGAGGGATCATGGGATGAGGTAATGCACCTCATCGGTCAAGCTCATTCTTTGGTCCACCAAACTGGTGTCCTTCGAGTGCAGACTGACATCCGCGCTGGCTCAAGGTACGCCTGAAATGGCCCAATGACCTGCTGGTTATTCAGTTGCTGAATCAGTTCTACAGAACCGATAAAACGCAATCCTTTTCCGACAAGGTCGCCAAGGTCCAGAGCATCCTAGCTGCGGATGGCAAGACGGAATAGGAGGGAGCTGTGGCCACTGAGCCAGCGGCTGAGACGGAAGGACCAGCAACAACCGCAGAACCCGTCTACCAACCAGAGAACCTGGACCAGTATGTTTTGAAGGTAGAGTTATTCTAGATTGTGAGGAATCCAGGGAAGTGGGAGGCGGCAGCAGCATTGGACGCTCAGAGTGGCTTCCGAACCCGTTGCCTTCGTTTGTATAACTCAAAATCATCCAACCTCTAGAATTCCAACTGGCGATCCTCTCTAATGTTATATGCCTCATATTGCATCCTCTATATTTGAAGAGGACTTTCTATGACGAAGTAAAGCATGATTCGGTTCACCATACCTTTCTCCCTCCGTGTAGTTCTGTCTTGAAATCACGGGCTCTTCACTCGGTTGCTATGGTCATTTATGAGGTTAAGGAACTTCTCGTAAGGGGTGGAGAAGTGCTGTCGCTTGCGGGGTTGCACAGCCTTCTTTCATCTATTTCCCTGAAACGTTCTTAATTGGGGAAGCCTCGCGGTAGTTTGCAAAGGATATATTACTATTTGGTTTACTAGACAGTAAAGACAGTAGCCAAGGACCATAGAACGCTCTCAATTGTTCTTCTCGTGTCCAAGTACTGCCCTCGAAAAGCCCAAGCTGCCCTCCTAACATCCCGCTTAACGCCCTTAGTATCAACCCCTGCGCCCCTTTTTCTTCGGGCAGCCAGCCCCACGCCTCTATGCCGGACCTCGCCCGAATCTTGTCTCTCAGTCCAGGTAGGCATCCCGACCGTCTTGCTCTTAATGTGCTCGTACAGATAGCTCTGATCAGTCATAATGGAACTAGTTGGAAATTATTGACCAGAGTAGGATGGAAGTACTGATTTGGCTCAACCTGAAACGGGAAATGGTCCACTGGCTGTAATTTCAATAAAACGCATCATCAACTGGCTGCAACCAATGCGGCTTGTATTAAGGAAAAGAGGGCTTCGTGTCCGTTCATCTTCAAGTTCTTCACTCAGATACAGAGGCGTGAGCGAGTTGCCCTCCATTACACACCCCTTGAAGCATCTACCCAACAGTTTCTCCTGGATACTTCCAGCCCTGATCTCAATCATGACTACTGAAGTTCACGCTGCAAAAAGCTTCTATTCCCACCAGGGGTCAGTAAGAACCATGTCAATTCACTGTTTACACTGCAACGATCCACAAATCCTCCGTGCATGCCGTATTCTGCTGTTCATCCATCCTGCGGGGAACAAATGGATTTTATCCTAAGACCTAGCAGCCTCCAACTCCAACTCCAGCTGTCTGATTCTTTCACTCTGGTCCTGTGTCCCAGCACCAACCTTCGTCTTCAATGTATCAACCTCGCGCGCTAAATGTACAATCTTCTCACTTTGAGCGTTGATGGTCTTCATCTGCGTTTCTAGGAGGCTCTTGATTTGCTCTAGGGATGCTTCAACGGACGAAGTACCTGAAGGTGATGGTGTTGAGCCAACGGCTGGAATAGCAGACGAAGTAGGGATAGTGATAGGTTTTGATGATGCTGGTTGCGGCTGAACAGGTCGTGGTGCAGGTTGAGATACAGGAGCTGCCTTTGGCGGGGAAGTTTTGGTAGGCGAAGCTTTGGTTTCTGCTTTTGCTTCCGCTGGGATGGATTTTTGCGCTGGTCTTGAAATATCCTCGAAACTCGAAGTGTCATCATCGTCGTCATCCTCAGCATCATCATCTTGGAACTTCGATGCCATGGCTGCGATTGAACCTTTATGCTCGGACAAGGTAGGGGGCGGCCCTCTCTGAGAAGTAGTCGGCTGGATATCTTCTTTTGGGGGTGCTGGAGCTTTCACTGGCACAGGAGCAGGAGCAGGAGCAGACGCAGGGGGCTTATAATCCGCTGGGACTTCTACTGGAGCATTACCTTCATATATACTCCCAAGGTCAATCTTAGACGGGATGCCATCTTTCCCTGAAAGCCACTCAGCAGCAGAAACAGCAGGCTTGAGACCGGTCGCTGGTGGATAAATATCCGATTGGAAGACCTCGGCGCGCCTGGGAACTGTGAAGGCTATGGGTTCGATGTAACTATCATTAACCGTCTTGTATGCTCTCATGACCTCGTTTTCGTGAACCTGAGGCACGTTAGACTCCGTCTTCAAGGAAATGGAAGCAAACTCACGTTGATACCGCGCCTTGGGAGGAAGGCAATACCTCGTTGAGGATCTCCAGATTTGTACTCGGACAAAAATTCGAATTTGTCATTCTCGTACTCGTAGTATCGAATGTTTCCATCGCTGATCTGTTAGCAGAACTCATCTAATCAATTTCAGAACTAACCCTTTGCCGGCAAGATACAGACAGTTCGTCCCATCGTCTAATACCAGGTCAGTAAATGTTATTTCAACCACCAAAGCTCTTACCCCAGAATGGCATGCAAACCCCAGATATTGAATCCAGAACTGTAAAGCCTCCGATTGGTTCTTTGGGATTCCCAACATCCCACAAGGCCATCTGACGATCGCTCATCTTAGAGAAGCCAGTTGTTACAACACGATTGTGCTCGCCCATCCAGACCACTCTGCTATTTTTTGCGCCTGTATGACCCTGGACCTCATGGGCCGCCCTCTCCTGTCGAACATCCCATATACGCAACCTCTTGTCTCGCGAGGTCGTTACTAATAGAGTGCCATTTGCATTCCATGACAAACTCTGCACGATGTCACCGTGCTTCAAGGTGAGATTCGACTGTCCAGATCCAATATCCCAGAGCTTAATTGTGTAGTCACCGGATGCTGAGGCAAGAATGTTCTCTGCTGCAGGGTTGAAGAGGACTTGTCCGACTTTCCTGTATTATGTTAAGTTGCGCTCGGGTGGATTTGAAGCGTGTTGTCGTACCTCGAGTGTCCCTGGAGCCGCTGCACCGGGGCAACGTCTTCAAATTCATCATCGTGATGTAGGGTGAAACCCTGAGGTACCTGCCATATGAACACCTTGCCATCATCGGAGCCAGAGGCTATAACACGGTCATTGAAAGGATTCCTGGACGGGGATTAGCCTGATGTCTCCTGCGAGCGTGCTCGGGTAAGCACCTCGGGGACATACCAATCTGTATCCAGCACAGGTGCAGTGTGCCCTCTGAACAGCGGGATTTGTTCAGGCAGTCGACCCTTCTCGTTGATGGGTATGACAGCAAAAGCACCTCCGCCACTGGCCTCCCAATTCACCGCCAGATATTCGGGGTTGACCTAGGTTCGCAATCAGCTTTGCGCCCAACTCCTGTGCAGGTAAGCATGCATGCCTCACCTTTACCAAATTGGTGTCCCAAGCATTGCGACTGATATGCAAGTTATCGTAGCAAGATTCCTTCCTCGTTGGCTTCCCAAAGACATGTCCTGCGGGATTCTCCAGTCAGCTCGGTCGTGTGCTTTCGATGACGAGGCTTACGATATTTCGACGCGCGCACAAAACGACCTGCCATTCGGGCTCAATGACTGGTAGCCAAAGCAAGTGTGGGTGATATCGATGCTGGTTATCCTAAAGAGCGACGCTGGTTGAGCTACCGTAGTGTGAATTGGAATTGCAGACCTTCTGGCAGGAAGAGATGTAGGAAGCTTTGATGATGCTGAAACTCCAAGTCTTACGCGCGCGAGGCCAGGATCAAGCTGCTGAGCCCTTCCCCACCACAAAGCTTCGTTTGAATTTGGTATACATCAATGGGTATTCAGGGAGGTCCTTGTTTCACTCCCTATTCTCCTTTGTATATTTCATTTTCTTATTTGTCCATGTCTTTCTCCAAATTCTACTGTCCAGCGGCAAACCAGGCGGCCAATCATATCGGCTGTTTTCGGGAGTGTAGGGCCACGGTAGCCAATTCAGGTTGTCTTGTCCAGTAGCTATTTAGACTGCTTGTCATTCACTTCTGCAGAAGTGAGCTATCTTAGGTACCTTAGAAACGGGGGTTCATTGTATTAGAGTATCGTATTTAGGGAGATGTATTCATTAATGTCTATATACTACTACTACCTAGGTACCTTAGTAGACAAAGTATGCTACTAGATAAAGGCTAGCGAATTCTTAAAACCTATTAGGGCTACATTTAGTAGGTGTTGCAAGAAATCACTGGGCCTTATCACGTAGGGGTTTAGTCACGGGTCTAGGAGGTTCCAGAGTAACCCAATCGGGGTTAGTAGAAGGTTCTAGGAAGGGCTAAGGTCACGTGATCTTTGCCAAAGGCTCTTTGTTTACCATGCTATATAAGGTAGGCACTTGTACGATTACCATAATCCTTCTTCTTTAGTCAATTCAATTCAGTTGGTTCCTCGCGATAGATTCACTCAATCCGATTACAACGCATAATAGTAGGTACCTATTCGGCACACTAGGTACTTAAGCGAGGTACTATTAAACAGTCCAGATCAAGATCTAAAAACCCCACTAATCAAGATTCAAAAGTCCCGACTCCCCACTGATCAAGATCTAAAAACCCCACCAATCAAGATCCAAAACCCCCACCAATCAAGATCCAAAAACGCCCCCTGATCAAGATGTCTTCTACCTGGACTTCGACACATCCGCTGGATTCCTATCGGCCGTCATACATATCTGTGGAGGAGTTCAAGGAAAGACTTGAACATTCCCTTCGCGATTACTATGGAGACAATCCTCGTGCTCTCCACTACAGAAGCGTCCGCGTCCTCCTAGTGTTCTGGGACATCGACAAAGACAACCAGCTAATCGTGCATCGTCCGATCGGGTCGAAGGAAGACCCGCCATTCAACATCGGTAACTTCGTCGGCCGCCTCGAGGATGTGTTTACGAGATCTTATAAGTACAAGGTCAACAAACTCGAATTGCAAAGCCAACTTAGCCAAGATCCCTCTCCTCAAGAATCTTTAACAGAGGTGCTACGCGCACAGTTAGATAATATCGATGAGAACGACCTGGCCATCGTTTACTACGTTGGCCATGGCCAGATGGCAGGGAATGATCTAAAGATCTACCCAACCTACCACAACGACAACCAGGTCAACTTTTCGGCAGTTCGCCGGTTGGTTATCGATCGTGCCGCTCCTGATGTCCTCATCCTTCTAGACTGCTGCTACGCTGGTGGAGGCGCTATTGGAGTGAACAAGGAGATCATCGCAGCATCGGCCGGCGACCAGCTGGCTTACAACGGCCCAGCTTCATTTAGCAGCAATTTGATTCAGCAACTCCAGCACGCAGCCGCGACGAGGCAAATCTTAACGTCACCTCAACTCTACGCTCGACTTGCAACCAAAGCACTCGTGCGTAATAAAGATGGAACGGCGGAGCTACTTTCAACGCCTATTCACATTCAAAACTATCAAACAAACAGACGCCCGATCTACCTAGCTCCTGTGATGTCCTTCGAGAATTGGAGTGTCCCCAGAAGTTTCGCCATCTTTAGTCAGCCTATTAACGTCCTCCTTAGCGTTCACCTTCGAGATGGACAACTCAAGACGCTCCAAGAGCTGAGAGAGTGGCTCATGCGCTCTCGGCCACCCTGTGTCCACCGAGTCGAGTTCCGAGATATATTTCCTTCAGGCTCTGCAACGTTAATATTCGAGGTCACACTTGATGTTTGGGACAGCCTCCCCGATCACCCAGCCATTTCCTTTATCTCGTTCAAGCAGAACATACATCTTCCTCCACCGCCTTCTCCACAGCGAACAAAGCCAAAATCCCCAGAGAAGGAGCCGGTCGCCTTCGCAAAATATGCAGGCGACGTTTCACCCTTAGCCAAACTTAAGGAGAATAAGAAACCTGGAAATTAGGAAGCCAAGTCTGGCGATGAGCTCATAATCCGCAAACATCACAATGCCAAGCAGGTAAGTAGCTTGCATGTATAATTGATGAGTTTAGTTAAGCTAACAAATACTTTTAAGGAAAAGGTCTTTTCCAAGGCTAGAAGCTGAGGGGGGGTTCATGCATATAACGAGATACTGGAGAGGCAGGGTCTATACAGACGATGGCTAATATCACGGTAGAGGCGCTGGGTGCAGGCACGAAAGTACTTTCACATAGGATGAAGAAGGCCGTCAAGGAGAAAGGGGTTGGCAGAGAGGGCAAGGGAAGGGAACACTGTGATGTTGCGATGGATTGTTACACGCGCCTCTGCTTCTAGATGCTAAACACTGCCTAACTACGTGCAGTTTACTCTTCTTTATATTGATCATTCGTACATCTGTGACAGGTCCACTAAGCCACCTCCAGCCTGCATTCCCCATCGGTGTCCCTCGCGCGTTGCCTTGCTTGCAGTGGATAAATAAATCAAATATACACTGTAGGTAAATAGTAAGAGTGTACGCTATAGACAGTAGGTACCTAGGTAAGTATAGGCACTGTGTTAGGGCACACATGTGACCCTCGCTTATTCTGTATATAGCACAGTCTAATAGCTTCTATTAAGGGATCCCTCTATTAATCAAGAGACTTAACACAACGATCAAGGATTAAAACCTTACACACTAGCTAAAGCCCCTAAATCCTGACGCTCTTATTAGTCGGCTTAAAACAGCGGTGCGCAGGGTACGTTAAACCATATGATACTAGTGCAGGGTATGTTAAACTTTCGGTCCTCCTGCATCGCTAACGCCGAGAACAAGGATGGGTTTCTTTTCCGTTGTCGGAGCTAAGCGACAGAAACACGATCCAGCTCCGGAAGTGTACGAATACCCAGATATTCCTTCTATACCGCGCCCAGTCATCTATAGGGCCTTAGATCATGATCAGATACCTTTGTACAACAAGTTAGTGGTTGATGCAAGAGGTGTTGAACCTACCGAATCCCTAGAATGGGGTAATCACAGAGTCGCGGAAGCTCGGGCCTTGCTAGAGCCAATTGTTACAAGACAGAACGAGCGTCTGTTTAGAACCCACCACCGGTCTTTGAAGATAGCAAGCAGCGTAGCTATCCGATTCGATGTACATCTGCGAAAAGAGATCTGGGTTGGCCAATTTTGGACTGCGGCCCCAGCTGACACCCATGCTGGAGGAATGGAAATTCACCAGCTTCCACCCTTCAGATATCCTGATTATGCCGTCATGCTCCCTCTTATGAGTCTATTCCCCTACCTTCTAAATCCACGTCGGCTCTTGACAGCTGAGGAGCTCAACAAACTGCGGCTAATGTATCCACATGCTTGTGGCGTGCAACTACTTATCGGGGGTCAACTGGTGATCCTGTTCAAGACAGAGTCGGATATGAGAGCTTCTTGGTCACGAGGGCTTTGTAGCGAAATTGGCGGGCTTCAAGTTGTCTACAACGTTCTTGACTGTCAGCCATCGCATGACCCTGTCGTCCCTGGTGCCGTTGTGCAGAACTTTCCTGCGGACCCTAAGGACCCTCTTGCCTGGGTTTGCTTAGGCCTCAAGGTCAAGATGCAAGATGGTAGAGATGCCATTACAACTGTAACACATGGATTTGTAAAGTTACCCAAGAAGGGAGAAAAGAGATGGAGGGCCATCACAGCCAGTTACTTCGATCACATAAAGGCGAAGCTACGGAACTTCCAAACCCCAAGACGCGAGACTGTTATTCCGGCAGTTGCTCGTTCATCGTCGATGTCACCGTACAACTCCCCTATTGGCAAAATAGTGACATTGTTCCGTTCGAACAAGAAAATTGGCTACATTGGTAGAACTTGGGATCGACCTAGCCGATGGCTTCCATATCCAACGGGATATAAGCATGACTTATCCCTTATCTACAGTAGTGATGATTCACAGCTTCCTCCTATGTTCCCCCGTCCAGGTAATCCAGCTATAGATGGCTGGGCAGACCTAGGCACTGTTCTAGATGGCGCACCAGTGTTTGTGTCATATTACAACACAGTACTTGGCGGCGAGGTGCAATTTGGCACGGCAATTCGGGAAGGGCAGATGAACATTTCTGAGGCACACAGTGCACTTGTCCAGGGAACTCAGTGGGTATGGGATAGCCAACTTATGACGCAGTCTGCGGCCCTTATCTGGCGTATTACGCCCAACAACCCGGACCAGTACACGTCAGGGGGAGGATTTTCAGGCAGTGCCCTCTGTCTTGGAAGAGTAACGGACAGTACTGTCAAAGCAGTTGTGTTTCAAAATTTTGATGTGCCCTATCCATCAGGACCTGCCTTAGGTGATTCAAGGCCAGCGGACTATCCTACTTTCAACATCAAGGGAGGCTTCGTACTACCACGGGAGCTGCTTGAAAGCGAAATTCAGTGTTGACAGGAGCTAGCCCCAAGGACTTTCGATTCTGCGCCAACAAGGGCTCGCAAATCGGGTGATCAGTGTTAGCACTTCGCAGCCCTTCTCCTCTTCTAGAGCTAGCATAGCAATTCCAACCTCTATCGTTTAACATGGCTGACATCGCCCTTGCTGTAATATATTAATAGTACAATAAAGGTCCGCAAACACGCTACACAGGACTATCTGGCGAATCCGCTACTAGTGGCGGCGGATGATGCAGCACCTTCGGCGTTGGGGAGTTTAGAAAGCGAGATGAGGAAATTGATTATCAATTGATTTAGCGCAAGTCGTGTGGTCTAATGGTTATGATATCTCGTTCACATTGTTGAGCACTGTTCCGAGATGGTTCTGAGTTCGATCCTCAGCACGACTAGCTAGTAGTAATTTACTTTTTTGGCCTATTTGTATATTTTTGCTCCCTGACCCAAGATACTTATGTGGCCGTTATCTGTATATGTGGCCTCTTTCTAGCAACACTGGCTGGCAGCAAAGGCGTATGATACGGAAATTCTCCTCTTTTTGCTCCCGGCCATGCCACTAATTCTTTGGCCACTACTCCGGTACCTTGGCATGTACCTTATGTGTTGTCCGCTCTTCACTTCAGATTGCCGATTCTCACCCCCTTTTCTCGGTTCGGCCGCGCATGACAGCTTTAGAGTACCTAAATCATTCCCGTTCAGAAAAAGATATGTATTCCTTGAATTCTGCTTTACCATGCATATGATTTTCTCGGCGCTCTGGGGCCTGAGGTTGTCTTTCATCAGAGGAAGACTCGAGGGAGCAACACGTCTTCTACTCATACGCAACAAGCTCAAGACTATTTATCCCTTAGAAGGCAGAACTGGACAATTCTTTTAAAAGAAACGGCATAAAGCTAGGAGGGGGTCCGACCTCTCCCATCCTTTTGAATGGCGAGTTCTACTTGAAAAAGCATTCACGTAATATTCTTTCTCATATATATGAGATTAAACCACAATGTGTTCCCCTGCTCATCAACATGGCTCAAACCACGAGCTATGATGCGGTAAACCTCATACCCCCTTCTCTGATACCAATCCTGTCTAGATATCTATCCACGAATATCAGCAACGCTTTGGATCATCATGGTGGCACATACCTTTGGCTGGTTTGCTCGAAGCTCCCATTGCCGCGTCTGTTCTTCCTGCTCATTGGCCATGGTATACAGCCACAACGATTTCGCGTTCAGTGGCTCACTGGTGGCCACGATCTCTATAGCATCCATAGCTGCGCGGCCTAGACCTCCTCCTTGCAAGACCCTCGAGATGTAGAAGGTTGATATTCCGTAAGACTCCGCACGGCTTGGGTCGTCGCCATCAGCGTCAAGGGAGATATGGCCCACAGGGATGAAAGAAGCCGACGAAGGCGTCCGTGGTTTTCCTCCCAACGAACTCGCCGTGTCTGAAAGCGGCTTCGTTTCTGAAGGGAAGGCTTTTATATGTTCAACCAATTTCGTTTCTGTTGAAATGTCAGAGTCGTCAAGGACCTGGCAGAGGTCAGATTATATCTCATGGTCAGAGCTGGATTCCACTAGCCACCCATTGAATGGCCATTTTCCCGGATCGCTGTTTTTCTCGCCATGATTCCACGGCCTGTTCACTCCAACCACAGGCAATGCGCTGTTGATATAAGCGCTCGACATGTTCTGGGGAGTCTGGATCCCATGGAGTCAGACTGATGGCTGACTTCGCCATGCTACCCATTACTTCCGTTTGAATCGCAACTGTCTCCGTCTAATATGGTGTTACGTAGAACTAACTGTACGTCGTACTCCGTAGAGGAAGAGGGGTGTCGCGATACTGCTTGCAGGCCCTACGCTTATATTATAGGCAGAGCTCGGTCTAATTATCGTGGCTGCTTACTTTCCTCCGATACCATGTCACATCGAGTGGCATTGGCGATAAGTGGGAGTACCTATTGAAGGCATCCTCAGGCTCACCAACACAATCTTATCAACATGTAGCCGTCTTTTGTAGTGAGGATGGAGCTAGGCTCTTTTTCTGAAATCTGTACTTAGACTGTCTACTGAAGGTAATCAAGGAATGAGTAAAAGCTTAGATGTGGTGCATGTGGGAGAATTTCAAAGGACGGGTTTTGGGGCTCAAGCACCAATAAACAGAAGATAGCCACAGGTTTGGTATGAATTTCTGGGGGAAAGAGAAGTTCGTCCGGAGCGAAAGCCGCTACTTGGTCTAGTATACTCGTAGAGTTCAAAGAAGGATTATCTAATTTCGCTATATCATCCCTAGAATGTTTTTCTCCATAACCTTCACACTATCCCTGACAGACGGACAGAAGTGCTTTCTCAATATCTCTCCCTCCCAAATCGTAGTGGCAAAAGGATTACTTCCTTCTACTTCGCCGCTGAGGGGATCAAAAGTCCCATCGCCTCTTCTTTCTTCGGTGTTCCATAATGCGGCAATTTTCTTCTCGTGAGTCTTGGTGACTTTACATAGTAGCCCCATCATTGCCATACAGGATTTCTCAGGAAGTTGCAGTGAAGACGTGAGGAGTTGCTTTGTAAATGCTGCGATTCGAAGTGGCGGTACAGCTCGTTGAGCAAGTGGGGGGAGTAGAACGGAGGAGAGGGAGCGCAAGAGAAGGACCGTGGTTGTTTGGATGTTGATCTTGTTGTTGGTAGTGCTGACAGAGGAATGGTTGGGGTCGTTTGGGTCGGGAAGATGGAGAGATTTGGCGCTGAGTTCAATATCCGGGTTGAGAGAGAGAGCGTGTAGGTTTCGGTAGAGATGCGTTATGAAGAAGCTCAGGTCTAAGCTGAGTGTTGACTTTGCTTTATGTGCATCCTGCCCTTCCAATAAAGCAAATGCAGTAATAACGCAAAGTAGTGCTTCTCGAGTTAAATTTCGCGTAGTTTCAACATCGTCGTCTCCTTGCTCATCATCCTCGACATCATCGCCAGTTTCGGCATGGCCAATAAGGTCTTTCAATGCTTCGAGGAGATCGCCAAAGAAATCCTGATTGATGAGATGCGCGTAGCGGGCTAGACCTTCCAAGACAGCTCCCATGAGAGTCGGGGAACGAATCTTCAAGATGCGGAAATAGGTCACGAAGACCATCTTCAGAGTCTCCGCTTGCATCTTGTCTCGCTCTTCATGACTTACTGAAGCATCAGCCTGTTTCATCTCCTTCTCTACAGCCTTGCGTTCTTTCATCAACTTCCTCTCCTTCTTTGTCCGAAACACCTTCTTCTCCTTCAGCTTTTTGCCTCCAAACTCGCCATCTTCCTTACTGGGTTTATCAACGTGATTTGTCGAGGCTTTCCAGGAGAACTCCGAAAGTAACCTCAAATGTAGAAAGGTATTCAACACGCTCTCATCAATTCGATAACTCCTTGCCTTCATCATTTTTGTAAGAAGTGCCACTGCATCCAGAGACGGTGTACCATCTTCATCCTCGCGGAACAAAGTTTCGATCGTCTTGCGGCATTTGAGGAAGTCGTCGTCGATCTTCCTCGTACTGAGTTTTCCAACCAATATTTTTAAAAGGTCTTTCCTGAAATTGAAGTGCGGCACCGCGGTCAGAAGGGTACATGCACATCCAATTGCAATACTGCCAAGGCTCGGGCCTCCATCTCTCGATGTTCCTCCTTTCCCAGACTGTGCTAACTTTGAAAGCTCTCGAATATAGCCTTGGTAACCTCCAACAAGGGCCTGCTCATAGGCTCGTAATCGCCGTACCTCCTTCGAGACCTTCGTCTCCATATCTTCCTCAGATAGAGGACGTATTCTGTAACCGGGAATCACATCTTTGTAAACTGCCAGTTGTGTTGCAAGAGCGAGTTTCTTGATCGTTGTATTGTCTGATTGTCCAAATTGCGCGAGAGATTTGAAAGCACCGGCATTCTCCTCCGGATCCTCATTTAACATCAATGCTATGCGTGCCAACTCTTCCTTTGCCTCTAGAATCTGTTGTCGCATGGGAACAGTAGGCTTCTTAACCTCTTCCACGATCTCTTCCTCGGATTCGTCTGCCCCGAGCCATTCCAAGTCGCTTTCCTCATCGTTGTCTTCTTCCGGTACTTCCACTTGCTGAATTACTCCATCAGATGTTTTTATAGGCAACCGGGTATTCTCCTTTTCCTTCTTTTTCCCTTTTCGAGGTCTTGACTCGTAATCTTGCTCCAGATTCCAGCTAGAGGCCTGCTTGAAGAAGGCGTTCGTTTCGGGCACTGCCTTGAGAGTTGAAGAGGAATCCTCTCCATCTGTTGCGGGAGGCGTCAGCTTGCGCCTCTTGACAGCTGGTATTTTGGGCATGTTCGGATTGTTGTTGAAAAATATTGATTCGAAAGTACCCGCAGGTTTGTGGTAAGTCTTCCAAAGCGGCCGCATCCAGAAAAAGTTTCGAGCTCGCGAAAAACTTCCCCGCAAAAAAAGTTCAAGTCCTCGAATTTCACTGTACCTACCTCCCTTACCTTACCTACCTTACCTACCGTACCTTACTCCGTACAATATTTCAATCTCTACATCACAACTTTACGACATCATGCGACCACTCACAGAAACCGAGACGCAGACTCTGTTTGCGAAGCTGGCGAACTATACCGGCAACTCGTTGAAGAATCTCATTGCGCCTCTCGATAACAGTCCTAACGCAGACCGATACGTTTTTCGACTTCATCAATCACGCTGCTACTATGTTCGACTTTCCCTTGCGAATCTCGCGACCTCAATCTCAAGAGATAAACTGCTGTCCTTGGGAACTTGCTTAGGTACATCTTTCTTGTGTTTGGCAGAAGTACACATCTAACAAATATATAGGCAAATTCACGAAGACGGGAAAGTTTCGTCTCCACATCACCGCCCTCCCAATTCTTGCCGAACATGCCCGCTACAAAGTGTGGGTTAAAGCGAACGGCGAAATGCCGTTCTTGTACGGCGGTCACATTGTGAAAGCGCATGTGGGGAGATGGTCAGAGGATTGTCCAGAGCATCAGGGAGTTGTGGTTTACAGTATGAATGACACACCTTTGGGATTCGGTGTTACGGCAAGAAGCACACAGGAAGCAAGAAGGCTGGATCCTACAGGAATTACGTGCTTTAGGCAAGCTGACTGTGGAGAATATCTGAGAGACGAGGATAGCCTGTTTGCTACGAGCTAAGGAGTCTTAAAAGGTGGCGCTGGAAAGAATATCTGCCATTCCTGGTGTTAGGGGTTAAGGGCGTTCATCTTGGCTATCTGGAATTTCTCTACGCTGTACTGTGTAGGTCTTCGAATGCTGCACCATCGTCTTTGAAGAACGTGTGTGTATTCTGGGTTGAAACGGGTCTACATGATGTTCTTAGCATAGCATATCTCTTTGGCCTCTTGAGCCCTGATTTTCGCAGTATACCACGCAGAAGTTTATCTAGCTTACTTTATCAAAAGTCCTGTGCAACCCACTTCAACTCGTACAGAAAACCGTCTTTCATACCACTAAGAGGGTTGGAAGAATGGACGACAAGGATATGAGAGTGACATGTGACCTTCCGGAGCGGAAAAACTTTTCCTAACCAAAATCAGAAATATAACAATTTTGGACTTCCTAGGTACCAAAAGGTAGCACGAGGGTCTTCCTAACCGTCAACTACTCCTTGCTACACAATGCTCCGACCGAAGACTTCGACATGTCTGATCTGCTCGTTCAGAGCAACTCGGAAAGTTCAGCAGACATCCATTCAACAATGGCAATCAGCCGCAGCTCTAAGTGTCAAACACCTTCCCTCAAAGACAGGTCGGCCGGCCCGTATGAGTCTTGCAGAAGCTAGGCAAGTCGGCGCTCCTACATCGAAGCAAGAAGGTGCCTCCGCGCCTGGAAGAAGACGGCAGGATGGTCCTTTTGGAGGAATGAACCTGAAAGAGGCAAGAATACGAGGGGTTCCAGAGCGGCGATCAGAAATGCAGGAAAGGAGAACGTCAGCCAGTGGTAGTAGAGGTAGGGAAGATGCAAAAGGACGTTCAGGATACAAGGCCCTCAAAATGCAGCGCGCATTGGCGCCTGTGTCGTATACTCAGCGGGCTCTGGTTAAGGAACGAATTGCTGCTATCGACTCCTTTGAACAGTTCAAACTACTTCCATCTGTACAAAGCTCGATATCGACTCAAGCATTACAAGGCATGACAGACATTCGCCCTACTCCTGTTCAACGAATTGCCATTCCGGCCCTCCTGGGATCAGAAAATATCAATAGGAGAAGTAGAAGCAAGGCTAGTGCTCCAAAGCGCGAGGATTTTCTGATCGCAGCAGAAACCGGTTCCGGAAAAACCTTGTCATACCTTATACCGACCATAAATGCAGTGAAGCTCGCTGAAGCTGCTGATGCAGATATCGAGGCCTACGAGAAAGAGTTGCAGGAGGAGAAGTTACGCCAGAACGACTTTTCTTTACCTTCACCACCTCTATCAAGTATGCCACATCCTACAACGGGCAGACCGCGCGCCATTATTCTCGTACCTACCTCAGAACTGGTAACACAAGTTGGCAATCTCGTGAAGGCATTTTCGCATACGGTCAAGTTCCGCTCTGCCATGCTATCCTCTTCCTTCAGTGGTAAGGTCATTCGGAATCGCCTGTTTTCGCCCAAGGGAATAGATATTGTGGTATCTACTCCTCATCTACTCTCGTCCATCGCCGATTCGGACCCAAACATTCTCTCTCGTGTGACTCATCTTATCGTCGATGAGGCAGATTCCCTTTTGGATCGAGGCTTTTCGCCCTTGACCCAGGCTATCATTGACCGCGCCAATCCCTCTTTAAAACAACTGGTTCTATGCTCCGCAACTATTCCTCGGAGCATGGATTCTTTCTTGCACAAACGGTTCCCAGATATCCGACGTCTCACGACCCCTAACTTACATGCTATCCCCAGACGTGTGCAGCTTGGTGTTGTGGATGTTGAGAGGACACCGTATCAGGGGAACAAGAATCTTGCATGCGCAGACCAAATTTGGTCCATTGGTAAAGCAGCCGCTGATCACGATGGTCCTGTGAAGGGCGAAATGGATGTCAAGCGTGTCTTGGTGTTTGTCAATGAACGTGAGAAGGCACAAGAGGTGGCAGAGTATCTCGTATCGAAGGGAATTGACGCACTTGCCCTGAGCAGAGATACTCCGGAACAGCGACAGTCGGAGATGTTGGCTTCTTTCACATCATCAGTGCCACTTACCGGCCCGAAGGAAAACCACCCGGGCACTCTGGCTGATAACCAGCCTAACTACATTCCTCCTGGTCAAGCACCACCACCAGTCAAGCGCCAACTGCCCAATATGAAGGTCTTAGTGACCACAGATCTGGGCTCCAGGGGCATTGACACATTGGCTGTCCGCAATGTCATCCTATATGACGTGCCCCATTCTACGATAGATTTCATTCATAGGCTTGGGAGAACGGGGAGAATGGGTAGGCGAGGAAGGGGTATTGTCCTTGTTGGGAAGAATGATCGGAGGGATGTTGTGGCCGAGGTCAAGGAGGGCATGTTCAAGGGACAGGCTCTCATCTAGTCAGGTCGAGATTTCCCTCAAGGCGTCTGGACGGGATGATTTTCCATGTATAATACTGTATATTAAGATACCAGGCTACAGGTTGAGTTCTGCTCAGAGATGAGGGTAATGATTGTACAAACACTCTTGGGTCGTAGCTATGTTCCTATAGAAAAGGCGGAGTTTTGATTTGATCGCGGGTAATCGAGTCCTAAAAAACATCGAGGTCCTTATCAATTTTGATCGTGATCGCTTCTCGAGAAACGGGGGCTTGTTAAGTGCTGTGAGCCTCTTACTTTACCTCAGGTGCGTGGGACCGACTCGTTTTGCTGATAAGTAGACACGGAAACAAGGTATGTCAGTAATCCGAGCGGGGAACTCCTGAAAACTCCATGATCACTGGAATAACCCCTTGTTCCTGATCTCCAAGTTGAAGCTCCATGACAAGATTCCCCATATGCGGCATATGCTGGAGAACAGGCAGGGTAGGTAAGTTCTGTACCTCGCCTATCCTTGTAAAGCAATTACGAAGTTTTTATTCATTATATTATGGGATATAGTATGCGACTTCGTTGTGATCCATAAGTTACCTATCTTAAGGTAGCCAAGGTACGGCGTAGAGTCACATACAACTTTCGCACCAGCACTCAGCGATCAGAGCGTCGTCGTATCCGGGGACCTTGTTGCCATGTAGCCGTATAGGCAGGCAACCAACACCAGCCCCCCAGCATCGGTATTTGCTATGCGGCACCGCCCTGCACAGCCCTACCTACCTTACCCACAGCGCGGAACAGAGCGTCATTTGGGTGCGTTGTGTACGCCTTTGCGGTCTGCCTTGCCTTGCTCTGCCTTGCCTAGCCTTGCCCGAACAGCAGGTATGGACGAAGTATTGTGCAGTCACGGCCGAGTACATGCCTCTACATACCTTGCCTACCTAACCTAATGTATCTCGGAGAGACGAGACCTCATGTGAGTCAAGCGGGGTTTGTACTGTATCTACTTCTGTATGCAGGTAACCGCTCCAGAGCATAATATATAAAGACGAGTGTCTGTCTCTCTGCCTGCAACAACTTGTTCCCAAGTTCGTTTTATACATTTGTTAGAGAGGAGGACCTTCCTTACCTTAGTCGGGTGTGCTTGTCGACTCGTCCTGCTCTGTTCTTCCTCCTTTCCCCACAAGGAATTTGTGTCGATATCTATTTCTGGTCCTCACTTTTTTCGAAACCATGAATCGAACCCATAACGACGTCCAACCGGGGCCGAGGGCCATGCACTCAGATTTCCCGGACAACTTAGGCCTAAATCCCCAAACTGCTCTCCTCGATGCCTTCTTCCCCGGCTTCTCGCTCCTCTCTACTGCTTTGTACAGATATTCGCGAATCGATATTTCAGTATACTTCCCCACGCTCATAGTGCTTGGGCTGCTCACATGGGCGTCGAGCTATGTCTCCACATGGATTAAGGACTTCATGGATAAGCACCTGATGTCTACAGCAGACATTCGGATAGACGATGAGATGTACAACATGGTTATGGCGTGGGTCGCGACTCAGAAATTCGCCAAGAAGTCTCGTCGATTCGTGGCCAACACGAATCTGAACTCCCGCATGTGGTGGTTATTCCGAGATTATGGGGACGATGATGACGAGGATGATATTTCTCCTCGGGGTTTTCACCAGGAAAAGGAAAAGAAGCTTCAATTCACGCCTTCTTTCGGAACGCACTACTTCTGGTATAAGGGGAGGCCATTCGTCTTCAGCAGGACCCAGGACCGCAATCAAGGCTCTTGGGGAACTGTGAGTGAGCGGGAGAATATCTCTCTCTCCAGCTTCGGAAGAGATCCTACCCTACTCAAGAGGCTGTTGAACGAGTGCCGGGCCGCCTTCTCGAAGAACGATGAGAACCGAACTATCATTTACCGTGGCGGTCTCAGGAAGGGAACATCTGAACCAACCTGGACTAGATGTTCTACCCGAGCATCTCGACCATTCTCCACTGTGGTCCTCGATGAATCGGTTAAGCAGAGTCTTCTGGATGACATGAGCGATTACCTCCATCCACGCACTCGGAGATGGTACAGTAACCGTGGAATACCATACAGGAGGGGTTACTTGCTCTATGGTCCCCCCGGCACTGGCAAGTCAAGTCTGTCATTTGCTATAGCTGGCTACTTTAAACTGAAGATATATATCGTCAGTCTGAATTCTCCATCGATGAATGAAGAGAACCTAGGGAGCCTTTTTGACGAACTGCCCAAAAGGTGTTTGGTACTTCTTGAAGATATCGACACTGCTGGATTGACGCATACCAGAGACGAGATACAAGTTGATGATGCCAAACCAGCAGAGGGAGGTCCAGGTTCGACCACGACGGTTGTGTCCAACGACAATAGTAGCGGACGCCTATCTCTATCTGCCCTCCTCAATATCATCGATGGGGTTTCCAGTCACGAAGGGCGGGTGTTGGTCATGACAACAAACCACATCGAGAAGCTGGATGAAGCATTAATCAGACCTGGGCGGGTAGATATGACCGTCAAATTCGACCTAGCAGACACCGACATAATCATCACCATCTTCCGTGCCATTTTCGCCACTCTCGATGACGATATCCCCAAGCCCGCCAAATCAAACGAAGCAAATAATTGCTCCGCCAAGAAGACTGCGGGATTGTCAGAGGCAACGAAAGAGGAAGTGCGTCGGATGGAAGACGAAGAAGAAGAAGCAAAAGCGTTAGAAGTGAAGAGACTGGCAGAGGAAGCCAGGATAACAGAGTTGGGGAAAAGATTTGCGGAGCTCGTTCCGGCGAAGACGTTCAGCCCCGCCGAGATCCAGGGGTATCTGCTGAAGAATAAACGGGAGCCGGAGATGGCGATCAAAAATGCGGAGGTGTGGGTCAAGAATACGCTTATGGATAAGAGGAAGAAGGCGCAGGAAGAGAGGGAGAAGGAGGCAAAAGAGAAAGAAGATAGGGAGAAGGCCAAGGAGGAGAAGTTGGAGAAGGGGAAGGAGAAGGAGGAGGAGAAGGAGACGTGAGAGCATAGGGGGATGATGGTAAGAGATCATCGGCAGTTTGATACCCACATTAGAGATTCGACGATAGAGCCTCCGGAACTTCACCAGGCGACAGATGGCAGAGTGCACTTGCACAGCTTTTAGATAGCTCTACAGTTCAGATGGTGCGCGCACCTGATACGAACAGCGGACTCGTGTTGTCATATGAACAGACGGGAGCCGTTTTATGTAGGCATAAAATAGACAAACATAAGAACAAAACAGCCTGGATGAACCCGTGAGAGATGGAGATAGATAGTAGCGGGCAGAGTGGGAATGCGCCTCGAGATCGAGGATGTCGATGTTGCAGCAGTAGGATGCGGATGACGCTGATCGTCGCTGGGGTGAAGCTGTCGTCAACGCCATGCGGTGCCTGCGGATATCTACAGCACTTGAGGGTCCTGGTACCGTACCGTACAACCAACGACCCTCAGCAGAGTCAGCCTCTATACAGACAAATAGGTAGATAGATAGAAGCTCGTTGATTCCAATTCCCCTGCCGGGAACGAGGAGAGGAGAGGGCACCTTTGCGCCATCCTCTGCGGCGATAGAAGATGTAATGAAAATAAGCAATGATAGGATGATAATAGTAATAATAGAATAAGAGCAATGATAACAGAATAACAGCAGAATAATAACAAGAATAGAATAATAACAAGCATATCGCAAGTATCTACGACCAGGCTGCGGCGACCACCAACTCCTCGCTCGCCTCGCCAAACGAACACTCCAATGAAAACAAAGATTGAAAAAATAAAGATTAAATCTTTAGTTCTACCTTACCACACGCAGCCGCACCACAAAAGGATACGTACCTTTGCCCATACAGCAACACCCCCCTCCAGCAAGCCAAATATTATACTGTCAGGTCCACCATTCAAATTCAACTTCAACTTCAACCTCCCCCCATCCAACTCAAAACCTCACATTCACCCCCCCCCC